AATGTTGCTGTTGGTGTTTAGTGATAACAGTTCTTTTCCAGATGAAAGAAATTAAAATACATTTAGCTTTCAATCATAGAAGAAAGAAAGAAGAAAGGAATCCAAAATTGCATAAGAATCGTACAGAATTTAAAAAAAGATTATATTGTACGCTGTTAAATTCAGATTGTAAAGTAGCAATTTGTAAAAATATATGAACCTCAGTTCAACTATTCACGGCTGTACTATCTGGGAAGTATTAATTCTATTAGATTATTTAGCAGAGAAATAATAAGTTGCAATAATAATTGCAACTTATGTTGCAACTTTCGTTGCAGAAATAATTAATTACAATTTAGTCACGAAAGCGCATATTAATTTCACTTTTACCCGAACTGATGCAATCTTTGCGATTAAGTAAAACTTTTTCCATTCAGCAGCATAAATATTATATAACGCTGTTAAGTAAAGGTTTCATGACTTCTATTTTTAATTGAATGATTAATTACATCGAGCTAATCAGAGAAGATTAAAGTCTCATATCTTGCTACTAGAAATGTCTTCCACGGTTTTTCTCTATGATTCTAAGATATGCTATGTCAAGTTAAAACATGTGTATATAATTCATAAATCACTTATTGCATAATAAAATGAGATATGACTATCTATACTTTATAATTAAAAATACCGTATCAAAGCATTACATTTGCGAACATTCTCAACGATTGTGTCTCTCGATCTGCTTCAGACTGAACCTTTCTGGATTTCTCTCCAGGTTGCCGTGCCTGACGTTGTGGAAGCCGCGAAGGACGCCGATATCCTCATCTTCGTCTTGCCTCATCAATTTATTCGCACGTTATGCTCGACACTGTTGGACAACATAAAACCGACCGCAGTAGGGCTCTCTCTCATCAAAGTATGTTTCAAACAACACCTTTTCACTGTCGTTGGAATTCGTAGGATTAAATTCTCGAATCCCGTTTCAAGGGTTTCGGCCGAGGCGAGGGGAACAACATCGGGTTGATCTCCAAGATCATCGAGAAGAACCTGAGAATACAGTGCAACGTTCTGATGGGTGCCAATCTCGCGAACGAGGTCGCTGAGGAAAAGTTCTGCGAAACGACCATCGGTGAGTACTTTTGAAAATTTAAGTTTAATCAAGAGACGGCTACTTAATAACTTTTCGAAAATTTACGAGATATAAACCATTCGATGCATAAAATTGCAGGATGCAAGGACAAGCGACTGGCATCGGTGCTGAGGGACCTCATTCAAACTGCCAACTTCCGAGTAGTCGTTCTAGAGGATTGCGAGGCTGTAGAAGTCTGTGGAGCTTTGAAGGTGAGTACATTATTTTCAATCTAAACAGTACACAATATTTGTAAAATATTTGAAAAATATAGATATTAAATAATATTTTATAAATATTCAAATGTCGAGAGAATCACAGATACGTGAAAGGTTACGGTAAATATTCACAATTATTTGTGAAGAATATTTTTTATAAATAATAAAAACATGACTTCACTTAAGTAAAACCATGTTTTAATTGATAATGAAAAATATTTTTCATAAATATTTTTGAATATTCATCATAATTTTTTTTCATATCTGACTTTTCCTTGGCATTTGAATATTTACCAAATATTTCATATCTATATTTTTTAAGTATTTCATAAATATTGTATACTATTGTGTACTAATGTGGAAATAATCCTCTCGATAGACAGGAAATATTTCGAACAGTTCTATTCTTTTAATGAAGTCACATTTCTCCATTCTCCTCGTCGTTTCGCTAATTGAATGCTTCATTCGAAGAACATTGTAGCGTGCGCAGCCGGTTTCATAGATGGTCTTGGATTAGGCGACAACACGAAGGCCGCAGTAATTCGACTGGGGCTAATGGAGATGGTGAAGTTCGTAGATACCTTCTATAGCGGCTCCAAGCTGTCCACATTTTTCGAGAGCTGTGGTATAGCGGATCTCATTACCACCTGCTATGGTGGAAGGAATCGCAGAGTGTGCGAACAGTTTGTGAAGACTGGCAAGGTGAGAAGAGATCTTCGTAGCTGCTGGAATCTGAAAGGAAACTTATAGCAAATTCAATCATCAGCACTACACCGGGTGCATGTTGAAGATTGCTATTTCACGTCACGTTATTTAATGTACATTAATTATTTCATCGTTGAAATACTTACATTATGCCAGTGTGTTTAGATACTTTATGTGTAACGGCCTTTAGTATGCACTAATTCGGTATAGTACGGGTGATCGATTCCGACAGCAATATTTATAAAATATTTTGAAAATATAGATATTAAGTATTTTGTAAATATTAAAATGCCCGGGAAAATCAGGCACGAGAACAATTATGATGAACATTCAAAAATATTCTTCATAAATACTTTATAAATATTGTGTGCTGAGAAATTCACTATTAGATTCGCAGCATTCTTTCAATTCATATTATCTCCAGTGTAGTTGAAACTAGTTATCATGAATTTCAATTAGAACTAGTGTACAGTGGCAGTGTAATTGGAAATTTTAATTACGGTATAATAATCCTCAATATTTTAAGGAAGTTGAGAGGAAGATCGATTCCAAAAATTTACTGTGATGTATCATAATAACGTGTTAACTAGACCATCAGACAACTGGAGGACGAGTTGTTGGCCGGGCAAAAGCTCCAGGGGCCGGCAACGGCAGACGAGGTTCACGATATGTTAAAGTCGCGCAATCTGATGGACAAGTTCCCCTTGTTCACTGCGGTACATCGCATCTGCACCGACCAACTGCGACCGGCGGATCTCATCGATCAGATTCGCAGTCATCCGGAGCACGTGTAAGACTTCTGTATAATTTCTTCTAACATAATGTTTCTTTTTTTCAATTTCGACCAAATTTTCATGATACAAAATCGGTAATCTTAAAAATAGTAAGCATTTCCACGTTACACGCACAACTATAATTAATTAATTAATGAAAATACCACATTGAATTTGTTTCCTCAGATTTGCCCCAAAAAGTCTCTTCATGTACTAAACACGTCTCCTTCGCATACTCCAACAAATCCTAGGAGCAGTGTTTCCTATTCCATATAAATCCTTATTCCTTTCATACATGAACAATCATATGAAATTTGCATGTGAAAGGTGAGCAATAAGCATCGTTAACGCACGATGATCGTACGGAATAAATACATGCAGCAACTTTTTTGTGTTTCAGGATGAAACTAGAGGGGGGAAGTACGTAGTTATTAAAGGTAAATGAAAGATAAATCGGATAGATGTAAATGCAGCCTGAAGGAAACGATTTAGATGACAAAAACTTGTACATATCTTGCGTGGTCAATGTAATTTATTGCTGTAAATAAAATTTAATTATGAACTGAACTCACATTCTTCAGTCACAGCTAATAATATAGTAACACATAATTTATCTTTGTACATCTATATATACAGGTATACATTCTGTTATTATAATTCATGCACGTCCGCCTATTCTTTCAAAAGTTGTTTCAACTACTTGGATAATGGTTGTACGCACCTCGTGTTCGACTTCCTGTACAAATCCTAATTGAAATAATAATGATTATATATGTCATCACATTGAGTAAACTTACAAATGTTTTGGACAAATTGTAGATCATTCTGTATAGCAAAATAACACACAGAACACCTCCTCAACGACTGCCATATTTGTAATATTTTTATTTTTCTACATCATCCTGTTTCGTTTATCGGCTTATTGTACAACAGACTTAATGCAGAATTCATATGCCTCCGATGTCCGACGATTCGATATCCAATAGGAAATTTACTTCATAGGAGGGGTTTCTAATTAGTGATACATTTATCTCTAGAAAACGTATTCTCCTATTGGATATCGGGCGTTGTATGTCGAACATCGAAGGTAGTGTGAATCCTGCATTAGGCTTGTTCTACAATATATCGGAACATATATCTTTAATCTCGAATTTAATTATTCGAGTGAAACAGCAATATCACAAACATTATCCGGACAGAATGACACTTTAAGTGACATTTTAATGACGGTATAATGCACGATTGTTGCTACTCAAATAATTACTGCTACTACCTGGTGTGTTCTTTTTAGCTGAACTACTGAACAGATGCAACAAGTTAGAGCGAGACAAAGTATACTTGTACCAGAAAAATATTTATTGCGCCAGATTAGTAGTACAGCTAAGAAGAACAGACCAATTGAATAATCAACAGTCACAAGATTTGCACATGCGCAAACGCAAGCGCAAGCGGTTCGTCATGGCGTGTCGCGACATGCGATCCACTGCCATTTCCGTTACGGCGCGGCGCGGACGCACGGCACGAGACGTGCATAGAGGTTTCCAAGATGGCGAAGAAAACGCAGGCCGAAAAAGCGGCACAGAACGAAGACGCGAAAGGCAATGACGATCCGATGAACGATGACGAGGAGCCCAACTTCAGCGATCCTGAGGGATTCGTCGATGATATCACCGACGAGGGTAAGCGCCTTTTCACTTCCTTCTCGTCCCGGTCCAGGTGTTTGCATGTCACTCACTACCTTGTTGAAAACATGGCACCTTACGTACCACGTGTAACACGTGTAACTTATATCTTCAGAGATTGTTGTTTCGTATCATTTTCTAATTTAAATTCTTTGCCTTGGCGAGAGACGTTTGACCGTTTATGTTGTCCACTGTCTTTCGCATTGTTGACTCCTTCGAGAACATTCTTGAAGTTCGTTATTGTTGACTATCGCTGCCTTTTAATCGGCAGTAGCTCTCGATAACATGACCCGGTTTTTAACTTTCAACGGAGCTAGACTGTCCGATCACATACAAGATACCTCTCGCAATGAATCCTTTTTAAATAAAACAGCAAGATTAATAAGGAGTTCGTTAATCGGCGCCTGTACCATCATCCTCGCAACCAGGAAATTAAGCTAGAGGTTCTACCTCGTTTGCGTCAATCGTGGACTTCCCGAGGCTACACGCAAAATCATCAACAATTGTTCATCATTGATTCTGTAGATTGCGAATGTTCTTCGGATGTGCTCAAACGTTAAACAATGATAGTGGTGTCGTCGGTTATCACTTGTGCAAATTCAACGTGACCTAACCTATAAATAATCGGACGTTATGGCGATTTTTCTCACTCGTGTTTTTTATTTATGCAATTGTGAGCCATACTTGCTATATATTGTAATAGCATTATTACAATTACATTGAGAATATCTCGCCGAAGCCTTGATATTTGCTCCAATTGTAGTTCAAGTTCGAAAATTATGTAAATGTAAAAATAATGGTGTACAACACGACAATGCAACATTAGATTAAGTGTGATATGTAAGTAGAGGAAGAATTCTGGAGCGATTAGGAGAAAGAGGATCTCTTTGTCCCTTAAACTTGTCTCTTACTTCTGTCTTTTAAAACAATTACCAATAACCACAAATGATTTTGAACAGCTTTCAAATATATAATTCAGTAACAATATTGCGTATTCAAACTGTGAATTTGCAGAACTTCTTGGCGATATCCTGAAGCAAAAGCCCTCGGAGACAGATGGGGTAGAATCTGTGATTGTTGTTGATGGTGTACCTCAGGTAGATCCTGACAAGTTGGAGAAGCTGCAATCTGTTATTAATAAGGTGTTGGGAAAATTTGGTACAATAGTTAATCAGTACTATCCGAAGAATGAAAATGACGTTACTAAAGGGTGAGTACAAGAGAATAACAAATGCTCTGTAAAATATTTCTCAAGACACTTTGTCTCTTTTCGACAAAATACTTTCTACGGAATACTTCACCCTTTTTTTTTTCTTGCATCACCAGATATTCCATCGCTCATATATTTTACTTCCCACAGGTATATTTTCTTGGAGTATAACAATCCCCTGAACGCACTCGCAGCAGCTAAGTCTACCAATAATTACAAGATCGACAAGTATCACACCTTCAAGGTAAATCTGTTCACGGACTTTAAGAAGTTTGAAGACATCCCTGAGAACTGGGAACCGCCGAAGCCGCAGCCCTTCAAAGCTGCTAGTGACTTACACTATCATCTGTTGGAGCCAGATGCTTACGATCAATTCTGTGTGCTTTGCGGAAATGGTGCAGGTGTATCGGTGCAGATCTGGCAGAATTCTGCACCCGAGCCCACCTTGCTTGAAGAACGCAATGTAAGTGAAGTATCCTGTCGTAGGGATCGACATTTTGTTACGTATAGCTTGGAGATTCCACAATGTGTAATCTTCCTTTAAAAATGGTAACCGTAGCTTTTTGAAACGTAATTTAGCAACTATGAGAAAACTTATAAAATATTGTTGAAATTTGTTGTAAATCCACCATAAGCAAAATCTAAACTTTCACCTGTTATTTCCAGCGCTGGACGGAGACATATGTTAAGTGGTCCCCGCTCGGCACTTACTTATCTACGTTTCACAAATTAGGTGTCGCTCTATGGGGCGGCCCCCAGTTCACTCAGCAGGCCAGATTCAGCCAGCGAGGTGTCGAATGCATTGACTTTTCTCCCGGCGAGCGTTATCTCGTTACTTACACCCCGCGCACTGATTTGAGCTCGGATCAGAAACGCTTGGTGATCTGGGATATCCTGTCGGGCCAAGAGAAGAGATCTTTCTTCCCCGACGGATCCTCCGTCTGGCCGATCTTCCGTTGGTCGCATGACGACAAGTATCTAGCACGCATGGGAGAAGACATTCTTAGTGTTTACGAAACCCCGGTGAATATTTGTTATAATCTTATATTTAATTGAAAACAGCATTCCAAACATGTTTCACACTATATGTTTTTGTTAAATTATACATGTATACTAATTAATTTATATTAACGTTAATTATTGTTCATAGAATCACTTGTAATTTTATGATTATTACCATGGTTAATCTTACAGTCGTTCGGTCTGTTGGATAAGAAGAGCATCAAGATCCCAGGTATTAGAGACTTCAGCTGGTCCCCGACTGACAACGTGTTGGCTTATTGGGTGCCGGAGGACAAAGACGTTCCAGCAAGAGTAACTCTGCTTGAAATTCCTAAGTAAGTCTCTAAGATCACGTTGACTAAATATCAATCATGTAATTTTTCCCTAGGGTGGAAATGTGAGAAGTGAACATTCCAATGTTTTCAAATTTTAAAAAATTACACTTTTCATGAGTTCGCTTGAAGAAAAGATTATGATCTCTTTGATCATGAATCTTCTCCTATAGCATGAATTCGTGAAAATGATAAATTTTCTAATTTGAAAACGTTTGGAATTTTCACTTATCACGTCTCCTTAGGGAAAAATTACATGATCGATACCCTGAAAAATTAAGGGAAGTTATTTATTGAAACTATTCTTTGACTTTCAGTCGCAATGAGATCAGAAATAAAAATCTTTTTAATGTGGCCGACTGTAAGATTTTCTGGCAAAAGTCTGGCGATTACCTATGTGTCAAGGTCGATCGTTTCGCTAAACGCAAGGAGAAGACAGAGCAGAAGTACACGGTGAATATAGTTAATAATCTGTTTGATATCTTGTCAATGAGAGATGTAACAAGTAATGCATCTTAACGTATTTTGAACGTTACGTTTTCAGAAGCGGAGATTTTAATAATTGTTATTTACGGGTTGCTCTTGCGTTTTTTATTACAGGGTATGTCATACAACTTTGAGATCTTCCACATGAGGGAGAAACAGATCCCTGTGGATAGTGTGGAGATCAAAGAACCGATTCATGCTTTCGCGTGGGAGCCAGTCGGCAGCAAGTTCGCCATCATTCACGGAGAGATACCGAGTGTGAACGTCAGCTTTTATGAAGTGCGATATGGTCACCAGCCTGCTCTTCTCAGTAAGCGACTACTTACACAGCAAAACTAATTATACGAACTCAAACTTTATTATTCCAACTAATCATAAAAATCGGAAGTCTTTAGAGCTTAACTTTTCCGTTCTTTAACACTTTGTGGTCCGGCATGATGTCGTCGCGATCTGACAACATTGGTTTTATCGATAAATCGAAACAAATGCGGTTTTAAGCAACTGGCAACATGCAAAACAGATGAATAGCGATTCGTAGCTATGTCAAAACAAGTGACGATCGCTCCAAGTGTTAGGATAGTTCTTTCAGAGCTAGTCTTCCGATTCAAATCGATCGACAGATCTTACCAGTGTAAACACTATTGTGAGCTGAGGAAAAGCAAAAAATCTATATATATACATATATATATATATATATATATATGCCCTTTGCTATATAAATCTCGTTAATAAACATAAGAAACTTAGAATATTAAAAGTGATTCTTCTTGCTGCTGTGATTTAACATTTACTATTCGTTTCACAATGTTTCTTTCATGATAGAAAGACTAGAGAAGAAAGCTTGCAATCACCTGTTCTGGTCGCCGTCGGGTCAGTTCATCGTTCTCGCTGGTCTGACGACGATGGCCGGCGCTCTGGAATTTATTGATACCAATGATTTCACTATAATGAACTCGACCGATCACTATCAAACCTCTGACGTGGAATGGGACCCCACCGGCAGGTATATATATGTTAAAATTATTGTTAAAAATTATTTACCGTATATACAATAAATGTGTTCCTTCAAATAGTCATAGCACAGTATAACATTCTGTTAATTTCGATTAAAACTTAAGAAACGAAATTTTGCTCGCATTAAAATCTTCAGATCAATTTTTTGTCCACTTGTACCTCAACTCTAACTCTCGATTGTTACGTAAATTTTCTTTACTTAATTTCAGGTACGTCGTCACAGCGGTGTCTAGTTGGAAGACCAGCGTCGATAACGGCTATTGGATCTGGACCTTCCAAGGTCGTATACTGAAGAGAGTCAACCTGACCGCGTTCAATCAACTGCTGTGGCGGCCGAGGCCACCAACCCTGTTAACCGCAGAGCAGATTAAGGAAATTAAGAAGAACTTGAAGAAATATTCGGCACAGTTTGAGAGCAAGGACCGTATGCGATTGACGCGCGCCTCGAAGGTATCTTAAATATTTCCCTCGTAATGACGTCGTCCATTCCTAAAATAGTGATTTGTAAATTTTTGCTTTTACACTCACGATTATAAATTACTCTCGGAGGTATCGCGTATGTGAATTCAGTGATTCTCTAGTGGCTGACTAAAATAATTTTGTAGGAACTGATCGAGAAACGTTGCACACTGATGAAGGCATTCGAGGAGTATCGTACGAAACGTATTGATGAATGGAATAATCAAAAGAAACGACGTCTTGAATTACGTTGCAGTAAGTATATTATATACATTTATTAGATTATATTATCTACATTTCGCAAATACTTATATATATAATCTCTACAGATATGTTCGTTAATACATAGACAAGTTATTGTTTTATCGTTATATTGAGAACGCAATGCGTAAGATATCGCAAGACATTTTCATATAAAATCAAATAAATCTAATTTCACGAGTTGAAAAAAATTGTACTCAAATTCTAGTAAAATAAGACCCGAGGGTTAGGGATTAACCATCGTTCACGTATTTTCAGGTATCGACACCGATGAGCTAGACTCCGATTCGAAGAACGTGGAAGAGGAGGTTGTGGAATTTTTCGTCAAAGAAGAAACGTTTGTCATTGACGAAAAATAAATCTCATCGGACGATTGTCGTTAATTACTGTGTCGTTAATTGCGTTTGTTGGTCTTGGAAACTTCTAAGTGCAAAATACCACCGGCCGGTTTCCATCTGCGCAGTATCGTGGCCGTGTTGTCATCGTCGTCGTCACCGTTGCCGTCAATCAATAGTTGCAGTGACCGAACAGTCATTGCAATTATCTCAGTTTTGTGAATCATGAGTGATAACGGACAATCATCACCTCTGCGTTATTATCACCACTGTAACATCCGTTTTAAAACTGCTTCCGCGTGTCTGGCGCTGCGCAAGAAGCGCCGGCACCGTAACAATAGCAAATTCTACCACATCCCTTATCGGATAGCCCATGAGAATGTAATAATGTCAATAATAATAGCTATTAACCGGATCATTTGTAAATATTACAAGGTCGAAAATTTGAAATTTGATTTCGACGATCTCTCATCAACTCTGTTCACAAGTTCTACTTTATAAACGACCGGTCACAAGAAGCTTGATTGCATGAAATCTTATTTATTAGGGAGCACATTGCGGCTAGAATTAAATAAGTTTAGAACGTAAGTTCTCTTCGCGAAGACGTTCCGACTTCAGAAGTAGTAACGGAAGAAGAGTACGATTGCGCACACCCAGGCCGGCGGTACTCTATCTTGCTGCGAAAAAGTCTTTCTCGTCACGGGTTTGGCGCAGGAGAACAGTCGCGCCTGCTCCTCGTACAACGCGTCTTGCAGTTTCTCGTTCTTCGTCACTACGGCGACTTGTGTCTCCAAGTCCCTGTTCACCGATCTATAACCTGAAACATTGATATTTTAACCTCTTGACATACAAATAAAACGGAATTTGATGCGTCTGAAAAATATTATTTAATTTTGCTCAATGAACAGTTATGTGCAAGCTTGGAAACAGAACTTTTTATTTTGAAATTTGCATTGCTATATAACATTTAATCAGGTCGATATATACTATTAATGGACAATAATTAACATTATAAAATAATAATTTAGTAGTAATTTAGTAGTTCTTTGAAGTATGAAACATTTCAAAACATTTTGGAACATGTAGGGGGACTACACATTTTTTACATTGTCAAGTTGTTTCGCTTCTTATATTATTTCTTTTACGCACACATGGCATCTCTTTGCAGGATGTTCCTGCATGAACACTTTCTGTATGAACATTTTGATGACCGTTTTCAATCCCATTATCATCACTAGAATAGCCCATTAGATCTTCATCGTCATTTTCATACAATACATTCAACTCAGACATGTTACAAGGATTATTTCTAATTTTTACTAAATTCAAATATATAGTATGACATTCGTCGTGCGAGATCACTGCTATACTGAATACTACTTTCAATGTACTTCTTTCTGATTTACTGGTTTGCCGATGCGATTTTGTTATCGGCACTGTTGAGAAGGGGGGAACATCTTGAACATTCTAAACAAAACAGAATCGACGCACAAGTGAAACAATTGAATAATCTAATAATATACTGCACGGCATCCGCTGGAGACAGTTTTTGACGTCTCGGAGACGTCAAAGTCTACAATGGCACATGAAATGAATGACGTCTTCCAGACGTCATTATATGTCAAGGGGTTAATGCACGAAAACAGTAATGCGTAATGAACTTTTTTTCTCACCGAAATTCGGTGAGCCTATGAGAGTCAATGATGGTCGTCGTTGACCAGGCAAAGTATACCACAGGCCCTTCGCATGGTACGTCCATCCCGGCTTCACAAACTCCCACAATGTCACCCTTCTCTGTTGATTCATCCTCTCGCATAGATCATAGAAGGATTCTTCTATCCTGGTGTACGCCGCTGGAATTCCTCCGGCCATTCCCTTGGCGTCTGGAAAGAACATGAAATTTATATATAAGTTATGAAAATATGCAAAAAAAAAATATATATATATAAGAAGCAATGTTTATCTATTTATCGAGTTTTTAACCCGGGAATAGTCACCTTACTTTTGTTTATATAAACGATCACGAACACTTGACATGATTGTTCTGTTTCTTAAGTATTTTCCTGGTTTCTCCTCATTTTTTTTCAAAAAGTAGCGAGTAAACCTATAGTTATAATGTCCCTAGATAATAAATTATACCGTAGTCGGTAATTTTGTTAATAATAGCGACTTTTACCCCCTTGCCATACCATTTAACTCAGAAGAATCCGGGCCCAAGCTTTCTTGGTCTCTTCGAGTGTCTATGTTTGTTGAGCTTTTCGCCGTTATCTGTACCACGAAAATGTCATACTTGGCCCGAGATTAAGACCACGAGTTCGACTCTTGATATTTATGTTTGGTTCGAAATGTCGATTACGAGTCAGACTCGTGATATTCAGGTTTGGCCCAAAATTCTCATCACGAGTCAGACTCGCGTCAAAGTATGGCAAGGGGTTAATTAGAATCTAAATGATGTCAGGTGACTATTCCCGAGTTAAAAACTCGGCTTCGCGTGCAAAGCGGAGTTATTGAGCCGAAATGAAATATATTTTCGAATTATCTGTAAACTAGGTAATTTATTTTGCAGAGAAATCGTAGATTTAGCTCGTATAATCAATATTCAGATACTTGAAACTTTGGAAATAGTTTACGTTAACACATTGCGTACGGCACTCTACTCGCTCAACACGACAATTATATACACATTTATTCGCTAACCATTTGTTTCGAGAATGCGCGAGACTTCGTTACGACCTGGTAACGTAACATAAAAATCTATTTTTAATTCCTTAAGTCATCGATTGAGTCGAAGAAACCTGAAAACGAGATATCTCGTCGCCCGGCCACAACGTTCGGCTTACTAAAAACGAGATTTCTCGTCACCCGTACGCAATGTGTCGATTGCGTATTTTATATGGACGACTTACTAAAGAAGCCATTGGCAGTGGGATGCGCCGTTAAAAGATGACACGTCGCTCGGCAATCTCTGAGTACAGCCTGACTGTAGTCGGAAGTCAGGTTGAAGTAACCAGTCGCCAGTTTGAGCGTGGCGCCGGCCGAAGCGGTTTGCAAAAGCTTCAACGTCACCTCGCTGTCATGACAGATGTTCAGCTGACCCATTTGCACCAATGGAAATATCCAAGTGTCTGCATCTGCAATGTAGAACAATGAAATGAGTCGGTATGCTAACTTCGATATGTCTCGTGCGTTCGTTTTCATTTATGCCCGTTTTCATCTTAAATAAATTTAATCGACGATTGATTCAACGGCCATAACCAATCACATTGGCCAATTAGCTGAATGATCGATGCGATTAGTCGATTCCATTGAGTTAATCGTCGGTTAGATTTAAATCGTTGATGGTAGAAACAGAAACTAATTGGATAATTTTGAACGTTCGACGTGATTTGAATAAGGTCACACGAAATCGCGGGATCCGTGCCAGTTTTTTTTTCTTTTTGTAACAATACCAGTTTTGTCGAGATTAGCACGTTTCTCTATCTCCTTCTGGAAAACCGTTTGTATTCTGGACGCGGCTTCTTTGGTGAAGATTTTCCGAGACCCCTTATAGGGATGGCAGTTTGCGGCGATATTCGAACTTGTGTCGCCATTCGGTTGCAACAGAAAGCTGAATTCCATCACCTTCTCGACCAGTTTGTGATAAAAGTCGCATAGCTCCCCGCAATCTTCGATGACGAAGTATCGGTCTTGCCGATTCGTGAAGTAATCGTTGCTAAGGTTCGCTCTAACAAAAGAAGTTTTGTACACGACTAAAATACATCAAAATATCACAAATGTGCAGCAATCGCGACAATAAGTGGCAACTTACCCGCTAATGATAAGATCGTCGTCGATCATGTACAGTTTCATATGCTGCAGGCCGATGAGCTCGTTGAACCGATCAGGAATCGCCGCTTTCATGATACCGCGCAGTTTCGGCGTGTGATAAAGAAAGACTTTGCAGCGGTCGCCGTGTTTACCCTTCAGCAACGGCTCCAACATCTTGCGGGAGTTCTGCCTGCCCCGGGAACCTCTCATATAATCCAGCAAGATCCGAACTTGCACATTGCCGCCGCTCGCGCTCATCGCTTGTTGCATCACGTTTACCTACGTTGAAAAATGAAATTTTGTGAATTAATAAAGTCAATTTATATAATCAGGAAGCGTCCCCTTGTTAGTCTCTTTCTCAGACGTTTCTAGTAATTGATATAAAATTCTTCTAATTATTATTGATATAATTTTTACATAACAATTCTTCTAATTACTCATTACAGTTGCAATTATTTAGAAGCAACGTTCGCACAAGATTTTTGTTCGTGGACATATTGAGATAATACTTACTAATTCAGTCTCTAATGCACCAGTGCCCAAGTACAGTGAGGCAAGTGTGATCCTTCTTTTGGCATTCCTACATTTTTCTAGTAGAGTGTCGTAAAATACCTGTGGCTTGTGGATTATAGTGATCTGAAAGACCAAATTCAGTCCGGTCGAACCAAAATTGTTAAAACTAAAGCATGCAATTGCCCATGAGGTTGTTAAGTGCATGCCTTTACCTTGAAGCCATTCACTGGAAACCCAGGAGCCATAGTGTGCAATAAAGATAACATATTAATTTCTTGCTGTACAGAGAGATTCAGATCCCTCAACTTCTCATCGTCCAACATCGCTATTTGAGCTTTGTTTCTGGCAAACAACGAACTTATGTAATGAGTCTTCGCCTCGATTGCAACGTTTAGTAACTTCGGTTCACGAAACCTAAAATAAATAAAATAAATATATGTAAACAAATAAATAGGTGACGAATGAATAAGAACATGATCAATGTAATTGTTGCAAGACATCCTGGAACAAGATGTCCTTATTGAGATGTTTATAAAATGTAATATTAATAATTATGTCAATTATTGCAAAACAATTATTTTATTATATACAATATATATAATACTTATAGCACACTTTAATTGTATATCTACACAAATGTCAAACAATATTTGAAGTTATTGTCCTATTGTCCCTACTCGAACTTGTATTTACCATAATGATTTATCTTATTATTATGATTATTTTTCTGTATTTTACATATTACAACAGAAAATATACACACATTATTTATAAAAAAATCTTTATTGATTTCATATGTCAAATAAGTTTAAAGGTTATGTACGATTAACCTAGTAGCTTAGGCAAAACACGATCTGACATGCATAAAATGATACCAAACTTACTCACGCGTACCGTTTGAAAATTCGTAAAGCCGAACTGTGCATGAGGAGACGGTGTCATAAATAATAAAAGTGAATAAATAAACTGTTCGTCCGCGCGATTCCGAATTTCAATGTGACATAATAAAGCGCAGCGGGCAACACCTGCCGGTCGTAGTAGGAAACTAATTGCGAACTATATTTGAATATTTTTCACAATTAAAAGTATATATTTCTATAAATACAATATCATACATATCAAATGTTATATACTTAAAATATTTTATATCCGTTTCTCTTTTTTCCCACTTTTATATTTCCTCTTTTGTTACTACATTATACACTATTAGATCTTCAAATTACGTAAATATTTTTTATATTCTACATATTTCGTTTCCTCCCTGAAACTTTTTTTTTATAGAAATATATATTTGAATATAATATTATTGTTATACATACATTTTCATATAATGTACATATTGTCTTTTGATCGAATACAAAATCAACATAATGAGTGGGGAGTTCGGTCGCTAAGCAACCGATGAGTATACACTGTCAGCAGTATGATGCATACTTTGCTTGCGTTCTAACTCTGTATATTGGCGCTTGTAAATAATATTAGCATAACCGCGGGAATAATACTGTAAATAAATCAACATGCTGCTGAAATATTTGGGTACTGTCATGTCAGCGCAAGTGAGTACGATATATATTACAATTTGGAAATCCTTCTTGCGCGCGCGCGACTCTCGATATCATGATTTTGTATGACGTACACATCCCTTAAATTAATTTCTACATAAATATATTTATAAAATACCCTTCTGACGAGCCCTCCACTGCATTTTATTATGCATTACTTATATTTTCTCCTTATATTTCAAGCAAACTGACCATTTCTTTTCATATTTTTTTATATTCGTATGTTTGCTCAGGATTTTGAGAATAGAGTGGTTGGCATAGCATGGTCGTCGAACAATTTGAAGCTAGCTGTTGCATCCTCGGACCGTTCCATCTACCTCTTCGACGAGAATGGTGTGAAACGGGATAGGTTCTCCACTAAGCCCGTTGATCCCAAGGTATGCGATCGTCTTCTATATATTACAATGATTCAATTTAGATTAATATAATTGATGCTGCTGTTCAACATATAGAAGAGATTTAATAGATTCGAGTTACAATAGAATTGATATACTGATGGGACAATGTACTATTTATTTATAGTTCGGCAAGAAGAGCTACATGGTGAAGGGTATAGCTTTCTCTCCAGAGTCCACGAAGATTGCAGTTGGTCAAACCGATTGCATCGTGTACGTGTACAAAATAGGAGAAGACTGGTAGGTGTATTAGCATTTGATACTCCTTACTGTACGGGAAATGATGGCCTTTCATTTATATTTTGTATATAACTATTGTTTAATTTCACATAACTCGAAATGTGCGGAATAAAATTGTCCTCAGCAACTCTCGAGGGAGGGGATTCACAAATTAACGTAAATTACTCCATCTTCGATATTAACGACTGCTTCTCAGGGGCGACAAGAAGGTGATCTGCAACAAGTTCAAGCAGAGCTCAGCGGTGACTTGTTTGATCTGGCCGGCGGAGGGTCCGATCGTCGTCGGGTTGGCAGACGGGAAGGTCCGCGCCGCTCTGGTGAAATCGCAGAAGGCGCAGACCCTGTACACTTCCGATGCCATGACGATAGCTCTGGCTAGCAAGTAAATTGAAACTTATCGATTATCATTTATATTATCGATCATCATTTCTATCATATTATCATATATTTCAAGTCTTTGTGTACATATATATGTGTGTGTGTATGTGTATGTGTGTGTGAGTGTGTTACAAAGCTCGGAGTAATTACATCATACGGATATTACGCGCGATCGTGCCGTGACGATCGTGAGAATAATCGTTTGCATCATCGTCTCGCTGAAGATAATTACTCGTAATTGCAATTACCCGTAATATAATTAGCCGTTATATTATATATTATAATTACCTGCGAATACCTGCATAATAATCGCTCGTTATTGGGATCCTCGATATTGCGCCGTTCACTCAGCAATCCTGATTCTTCAGCGTCCGCGGCAGCGGCTTCCTGTCGAGCCACGCCGACGGCAGCATCATCCGCTATTACGTCGCCGAGGACGGTGGCGCGGAGCCTTCGGGACGGGTGTGCGTCCACGGGGTGCCCGCCTACGCCTTGGCGTGGCCGCAGTCGCACATCTTAGCCGGTGGCTGCGACAAGCGATTGACCTTGTACGACCCGTACGGCAAGCCGGTGAAGAACTTCGACTTCAGCCGCGACCCCCAAGAGCGAGAGATCACCGTGGCCTGCTGCAGCCCGAGCGGCCAGAGCGTCGCCGTGGGTTCCTGGGACAGGGTGCGCATTCTCGACTGGACGCCACGACGAAGTGTCTGGGAGGAGACCAACGTGCGTACCTTGCCGAACTTCTACACGATCACGGCGCTAGCTTGGAGGAGAGACGGCTCGAAGTTGGCGATCGGCGGACTGTGCGGAGGCGTCGAACAGTTCGAGACTATCCTGAGGTTATTACAACTATCGACGAAGACGATGAGGATAATCGTCGTGTTTGGATTCTTGGTTCCTAGAAGTCAAGTTTCGGTTTTTCAGAATAGGCTAACGATCCTTCATTCTGACTAAAACTCCTATTTGTCTTCTAGAAGCCAAGTAGAAGGCAATTTTCGCTTGGATTCATAGCTTTTGGGAGTGAAATTTTTATTTTCCATCCTAAACTCGGACTTAATCTTCTTGAAAACCAAGCGGAAGACAATCGTCATTTAGATTCTCGGCTCCTAGAAATTAAGTTTTAATTTTCCCAAATAAATCTGCGATTTTTCATCTACTAGGCCTACCACTTGGCTTCTATTTCTAAAAGCCGAGTGACAGACCTAGTTTGTATTCTCGTTTCAAGTTTCTCGATTAACTCGACTTCTCAGCTATGAGATCGCATGGCTAATTGTTCAGAAACACACTTACTTACCATTTGAATATTCAGAAATCCTCGAAGATCTGCCGAACTCTCACACGTTTCAGACGCACAGTAGTGCGCGGCAGCCACGAGGTGGCCTACGTGGGTCCCAGTCAGGTGGTGATTCGACCTCTGAACGATTCCTCGCATCGCTCCATCGTCATCAGGTCGCAGACGGGTCTCGAGATCGAGGACGTGCGCGTTCTGGGCCGTACAGACAACAACGTGGTGGCTCGCACAGCGCGCACCTTGCTGATCGGCGACATCGAGCTAGGTCTGATCAGCGAGATCCCCTGGGAGGATCGAACGAACGGCACTGAGAAGTTCTTCTTTGAATACCCGGTGGTCTGTCTCATCTTCTGCTCCGGTGAGCTGACGATCGTCGAGTACGGTCAGAACGAGGCGCTCGGCTCCGTGCGAACTGAAGCGGTGAACCCGCACGTGGTGAGCGTACGCGTGAATGAGCGACCTTCGGCCGGTGAAGGCGACAACAAGAAGCTAGCTTACCTGTTGGACCCGAGAACCATCCGCGTGGTCGACCTTTTGACCGGCGGTACTATCAACATGATCGTTCACGACGCCCGCATCGACTGGCTGGAGCTGAGCGAGGCGGGTCACCGATTGCTCTCGCGGGATAAGAGAGGCCGTCTTTGGCTGAGTGACGACGCAGGTGGAAGGTAGAGACGAGAAGCACTTAGACACGAATGTTAAGTCGGTGCGAAAATCTGCTTTATTTTGTCGAGTAAAATTGGACACGAGATGTCGGAGGCTTGAAGCAAGTTTTGCGAATAGCCTCATCCCCTATCAGAGTTTCGATATTCTCACTCGTTCCGAAAGATTTTCAACGATTAAGATAAATTTGAACGAATAGCCTTGCCGTTTAATCGTTAATTATTTATTTTTATTTTTATTTCTATTTAACATTTTAATATCATCTTCCTAATTTGTTTTACTTTATTTTTATTTAATGAATTGATTGAGTTGTGAGTTCATTTAATGAGTCATTTTATTCATGGAATAATTGAGAACCTTCTTCACCGTAGCTGCGTTTTTTTTTATCGAAACGGCCGCGCCAGATCCTCATCTTAATCTTCTTTACGGTTACTGAATTAGAGTCCTCTTGGTGACCGGAGTATCCTTCGCGTCCTGGGTGCCCAGTAGCGACGTCGTGGTCGCCCAAACGTCTCAGACATTGGCCGTCTGGTACAACGTGGACGCGCCGGAAGCGTCCACGCTGACGCCCATCAAGGGTGACGTGGTGGACGTCGTCCGGGAGGACGGTCGAACGTCCGTGATGGTGGAAGAACATGGTGCGAAAGTTGCGTACTTATTGGACGAAGGGCTGATCGAGTTCGGCACTGCGCTGCACGACAACGACTTCGGCAGGGTCGTCTTGTTCTTGGAGAACATGGGCGATGGCCCGCAGGTGGAAACCATGTGGGAAAACGTTGCCAGGAACGCGATGAACGAGAGGAAGATTATGATTGCCGCGAGATGTTATGCGGCAATGGGCGATGTGGCTTGCGCCAGGTTCTTGAAGGGGGTTGTCGAGGTGACTTTCTCTTTCTCTCTCTGAAATCGCCCTGACATCTAAAATAGCGTCACGATTTGGAGATTTATTTCCTGCAATATTTTTCTCCTTCATATATTCGATTTCGATATTTCTTCCTCCTTCTACATTCTACTTAATTATCGAAATAATTTTTCGACCGCTCTATATCATTCCTTCTTTCTCACCTCGTAATGTCTCACTTGCTCGTTTCCTCGCTTCAAGATCGGCATAAAATATACCATGGAGACTGGCAACGACCCACTGGCCAATCCGGATTGCTGGGCCCGACTAGCGGTATTGAACGGCGAGCTGAAGACCGCCGAGGCAATTTACCTGGAGCAGAACGAGCTGGACAAGGCGTTGGACATGTACCAACGCTATTGGCACTGGGAAGACGCGTTGAATCTGGCACAGAACCGCAGCTGGAGCGGACTCTCAGAATTGCGAGACCGTCATTTGGCTTGGCTACTGGACAGCGGTCAAGCGGCTCGTGCAGCCTCCATTATAGAGAGCACAAATCCAAGGAGAGCCGTCAAGCTCTATCTGGAGGCTCGTCGACCTGGACGCGCCGCCAGGCTGGTTCTCGCCGACAACGAGCTACTGGAGGACGAGCGGATCGTCGAAGACGTCATCAGCGGCCTCAAGGCCACCGATCTCATGGAACTCGCCGGTGAGCTGCTGGAGAAGACCTCCGCCGGCGCCGAGGCGATCGACTGTTACGCCCAAGCCGGTGTCTTCGCCAGAGCTCTCGACCTGGCGCGTAAGGTCGACCCTACGCTGGTGGTCGGCCTCGAGAGGGACTGGGGGAAGCATCTGGCAGCTGGCGGTCATTACGATGCAGCCATTAATCATTTCATCGAGGCGGGGGAGACGGTGATGGCATTGAAGGCCGCTATTAATGCGCGGCAGTGGAGGAAGGCCTTGCAAATTATACAGGTGGGTTTTATCCTGCGACGTTTATGTTTTACGAGCGTTATGTAAAACGGATCGTTAACATGTCTCGTTTTTTCGTTCTCGTTGGTTACCTGTACTTGTATGATTCTTCATGCAGTCTTTTTGATATGTCAATTTTCATTTCGCCGAGGTATACCTCACGCACACCTGTGCGTATTTAACGTTATAATCAATGATCGACGTTTTTCATTATCCCTCGACGCCAGATTGACGCTGAAATTTTAATCGAGTATCCCCGATACTTTGTTAAACGAGATTTCCGAGATTCTCGAGATTCTTAAGGCTTCTAATAGCTCGCTGCAGTCGTTTTGTTTGATGACGTTAGAAATGAGAAGACGCATGCTTAATATTCTTGCAAAATACGGTGAAATAAAAAGATACGTTCACAGAATGACACCTGTGATCGATTGATATCGGGCATATCTGTAAGATATTGAGATTATTTAAGATGTACGTTTCCGTCGGTTTTTTTTTTAGGTGATCGAGGACGACGATTCCGAGATCCGTCAGCAATGCGAGAAGCTGGGCGAGTACTTCTCGTCAATCGGGGAACGGTCCTTGGCGGAAAGTCTTTTCGTTCGCGCGGGCAAGCCTCGACGCGCCGTAGAGACTCACGTGCAATCGGGCGACTGGATTCGCGCGCACCAGGTGGCCCAGGAGTACATGAAGAGCGACGAGGCGAACGAGGTGTTGGCGAAACACGCTGAGAACTTGCAGCAGACCGGTGAGCTCCGACACGCCGAGGCACTTTATGTCGCCATCGGCGACCACGACGCGGCGATCGCTATGCATCGCAAAGCGGGAAATCGCGGTGACATGATCAGATTAGTCGCCGAGCATCGGCCTGATCTTCTTCAAACCACTCACACGCATCTGGCGAGAGAGCTGGATGCCGCCGGCAAACCGAGGGAAGCCGAGGAGCACTTCTTAGGTCAGTGTTTTCAGTCACAGATTTTTCCGTTGAACATATTTCGCTGAATCTGTGCGATCTTCGAGCGAAAAATTGGAAAAATTTTTTTCAGTTTAACATCAGTAAAAAATATGAAAGAAATAGTAAAATTGTGCAAAATGTGTCGATATTAAGATAACTAAACAAGAAAAACAAACGGAAAAGGAGAGAAATTTTGACACGGATTTTCTGCTTCTCTTGGATATTAGTTTGTAATCAACTTACGGATCAACAAGTTTCAAATAAAAATCAGTGATTGATGAGTATTTTTTCAAAAAACAAGAGACAAGGAGGGGGAGAAAGAATAACATACAATCATGGCCTGTGACCTGTTCTGTTAATACGTAAAACATATCTCGTTCTAGGTGCTGGCGATTGGCGCGGAGCGGTCGCAGCTTACAGATCCGCGAACATGTGGGAGGACGCATTGCGGGTCGCTAAGAAAGCTTCGGGGGAGAAAGCAGCTCAACAGGTTGAAATCTAGAGCTTGTAGAAATATTTCATCATGTATATCCAGTTAAAGATTACTATAATTAATCAGACGACGCTACCACTTGATACATTTCTTTCTTCAGGTCGCCTTAATGTGGGCCCGGACCTTGGCTCCGGAACTGGGCGCGCGACTGCTGATGCGACTCAACTACCTGGAACCCTGCCTGCAACTGGCGTGCGAAGCCAGCATGTTCGAGTGGGCACTGGAGGTCGCCAAGTACAGCACGGCGGATCAGAAGAAGGAGGTGCACTATCGTTACGCTATGGCGCTGGAGGACGAGGGTCGCTTCACCGAGGCCGAGAAGGAGTTCGTGCAAGCTGGCAAGGCGATGGAAGCCGTGCAGATGTACATCCACAACCGTGACTGGGAGTCCGCCGAGGATGTCGCCCGGTCGCACAGTCAAGACGCGGTGGCACAAGTCCTGATCGCCAGGGCCGCCGAGGCCGCCGAAAGCCAGGACTACGCCTCGGCGGAGGCTCTTCTCTTGAGAGCTCATAAGCCGGAGATGATAATAGAACACTACAAAGTCGGTTTCCCTCCTCCCGAGGAGTCGCTGTGGATCGTGCGAGGAGACTTTACCGATTGGAGGATAACGTTATCGCGTGTGACGTTCCTCGCAATGAAGCTTCTACAGATCCCGAAGAATCTGAGGAATCAGATCTAGAGAATCCTCGCGTCGAGATATCAGGATGTTTCCTCCGAGTCTTCAAAATCCGAAAGGGCTTCTCGCACGATCCAACAACTCCTTTGTTGATTCTCGTCTGAATATTGTCATCAAGTCTTCAAAAGAGCTTTTTATACGATTTGGTATTTTCTTTTTGCTTATTTCTCCCGAGATATTATCTTCAGGTCTTCGAAATCCGAAAGAGCTTTCTACGTGATCCACTAGCTCCTCCGTGAATTATTCATTTAACGTTTCTGTCGATCAGAACTATCTTTCTTCTTTTATTAATTCTTAATTGTCCGCTCATTATACTTTCATCGTACCTCATCTCACCTCGATAATTTCCATTTCATACTATCTCAATTTCTTTTAGCCAACTTTGAAGTTCACCACTTATCCTTTCATCGTCTCGTTCCTTTTGTCCTCCCGTCTCTTTGTTATTTGCTTTATGACCTTTACCGAGGCCGCTCGTCGTCTCATTACTTTTCAGCGTATATTTACACCTTGCGGCGTTCTGTTTCGTTACATTCCATCTCCGTAATCAAATTCTTCACTTCAGACGGCCGGGATGTGGTCCGAGGCGCTACGGGTGTGTCGAGAGTACTTGCCGAGCCAAGAAGCGGCCCTTCGCAGGGAGCTGGGCCAGAAGAGCGCGGGTCTCGACGGGGCGAACGCGCTGGAGGAAGCTCGCAAGTGGCTCGAGCTCGGAGAAGTACGGCCGGCCCTGGATACCCTGATCCTGAACCCACAAGCGCCGCGATCGTACCTGATCCGCGCGGCTGACATTCTTCTGCATCAGGCGGATCCCGAAATGGCAACGGAGATCGGCGGCGACCTGGGTGCGCGCTTGTTCGCCGTTGGCGAACACGCGCTCGCCGCTCAGGTACTTTTCCCTCCTCTATATTTGCGCTTCTCTTGTTCGCGGACGATCTGTTAACCCTTTAGCTTTAGAAGGACGCATATATACGCCCAGTAAGTTTGGTAAGTTTGGCAATATTTATTTTCTTACTGGAATAATGTCTTTATGAACGTATTTGGTCTGTTCTTTATAGCTACACTGCTAAACTGGTGCAACATGCTAAATCGAATCAAAATATACTTGTCGCACTCTAACTTATTGCACCGGTTTAGCGGTGCAGCTATAAAGAACAAATCAATTGTTATGTATTGCCTAGCAACGATAGAAACAAATGAATATCGTCTCATACATTGGACGCGTAAATTACATGCTTAGAGCATAAGAAAAATCAGTTCATTTAATTTTTGCGACGCACCGCAGCGACCGTCGACGATCGTCGTTCCGTACATAAAGAAAAAGGTTTCTCTAGATTTAGTATACGTGTTTATTTAACTTGTTTAATATAAACATAATTTAAGGCTCGGCTCCCGCTAGCCATATTAGTTTTGCCGTTATAGGCCAGAAATGGCATGCAATTTCTTGCGTAATACAGCTTTATTGTTTAGTTTTCCAGGGAAAATGATTATTAACAAACGAAGTTTTACAAATTTGATGTACATTTTTGTATAGATAGAATTTTAGTCGTATGTGAACAACCATGACACAATATCGTTCAGTTAACTGGAATTCACAGTCGAAATATAGAAAGATTACAGGAGAGAGACGCGCTAATATTCTATGTTTTGATATTGACGAAGATAATTATGAATATTATATTTCTGAATTGTTGTTTAAAAGATTCGACGTTTCGACATATAAATTGATATATTTTTTCTTATTTTCTATTCTCCAACTTTCGCATGTTGCTCACGACTGTGTCCTTGACAACATACGTTAATATCGTTGATTTTGGAAAGGATCGATCTTACGCAAATATTTACCGAACCTTTTTCTCTGTGTACACAGCGGACACTTGTTATCCGAAGTGCGCTGTAGCTAAAAAGTTAATTATCTTGAACTCGATAAGATCGACACGTAAGTTGGATAAGAACGGGACGGAGGAGTAGAACTAGCAAGGTCTTGTGTTCGGCAGGTGTTCCTTCAGGCGGATCGGCTGAAGGACGCGATAAGCTCGCTAGTGGCGGTCGGCGAATGGGAACGAGCACGACGGATCGTCCGCGAACTCGCGCCCGATCTCGAGCCTTATCTCGAGGAGAAATATCGGGACACGATGACGAACGAGGGCCAGATAGAGCAGCTGGCCGAGGTGGACAGCAACGCGGCCCTCGAGATGATGGCGCGCAAGGGCCAATGGAACCAGCTGTTCGAGGCCGCGGGTTCGCACAGCCCAGAGTTGTTGCACAGATTCGTGGCACGACGCGCCGCGCAATTGCTGAAGAACAACTCGGCGCCGCAAGCGTTGCAGCTGTACGCGCAGTACGGCGCGCCAGCTGTCTCGCAGAATTTCAATCTGTACCTACAACTGGCGGAGAGCATCCTGAACGCGTCTCAACAGGAGTACAGGTATAAAGGGAAAGGTTTCTTTGGAGACTTAGTACATTGGATACATGTTAAATATTGTTCTACTGATTCGAAAAAATCTTTTAATACGTTTCTAACATAGTGTTAATTCTTTCGAATAATTTATTGTTTGTTGACAACTATTGTAATATTGAGATTAAAATATAAAAGAAATATGTTGTTCTTTGAAAAACCGAACAATCCTGTTTGTTGAATCAGGTATTCGTTTGTTTGCTCCATTAAAAAAAATAAATTTGTTTCGATTAAAGGAATTCTATTAAATCCAAAGAAATCTCTTTCTCTATATACGGGGTGTTGCTTCGCACGACTGAGAAAATCCGATCGAGAAACTTAGACGGCTGTCTCTCTTTTTTCTCTCTCTCTCTCTCTCTCTCTCTCGTCTCGAAGGTTCTTGCGCAGTTTTCGTGTTTCTCCCGCAAGAAGCTGCCGAGTCATAGCGGACGCTTCATGCTGTATTTCTCTACCCATGAATCGTCGGTTTCTGTTCGTGCTCGTTTTGCCCGCAAAAATGCATCTCCAACCTTCCAGCTTTTACCGTCTAGAAATTCTGACCTATTCCGAAATCTCACCCTTAATTTCTTCTTGTTCTTCCCATCACACACACACACACACACACACACGCACAATGAGAGCCAAGAGACTGATTTGTTCCATCATCCAAAATATGTTTTCTTCACAATCCAAAGTTCTTCCTGGCATTCGCGTTTATAGATTAGGATAATGAAATTAGCCCGCTATATTCTCAGTCCGTCTATTGCCTCTTCGTCCTTTTCGTCGTTTTGTTCAACAATCAATACGATTCCAGGTACCTGACGCAGTTACGGGACATTCTCCACAGTCTCTGTCGCTCGTCGCCGGCGACCGACAGATTCGAGAGGCTTCTGGAGGTAGCCCACCTCTCCGCGGTGAGACACGGCTGTCGCGCGTTCCCAGCGCTTTCCGGCTTCGTCGTCAAGGCGTCGGTCAGCCTGCTGCGACACTCCGACGTTTTGCACGCCGACAGATGCTACTATGAGGCCGGCGTAGCGGCGCGTGACGCGGGTCTTCTGAGCGAGGCCTTCGTCTTTCTCAATCATTTCCTCGATCTGGAGGAATGCATCGAAGAAGAGGGCGACGGCAACGTCCTCGACGTGGACGACCTACGCGTCACCGACTTCCCGTTAGAGGTGCCGCTCCCGGAGCACCTCGGGATCGATCAGAATCGTCGCGAGGAAGCGAGGGAATGGGTGCTGGCGGTGTCGATGGACCAGAAGATCGAGCAGGGTTTGCCGCTCGATCCGAGAGGTGTCTACGTGGGCTCGTTGACCTCGCCGAGCAGCACGGGCGCGCCTCTCCAACAATGCGTGATCACGGGCTACCCGGTGCGCGGCCCGGTCATCAGGTTCGAGGAGTCTAGTCGCGTGGCCGATCGCGACGACTGGACCAAGCTCGTCAACACTGCCAGGCAGGCGCCTACGGACTCGCCGCTCAACGATACCCTGGTCTTTCTTCAGGAGTGGTGTGGCACGGCGCCTAAGTACTCTTTCTGAGAAGGTAGAGAGAGCTTGCAGCTCTCCGGTCAATCATAATTCATAGGTAAGAAAGGTAGAAGGTAGAATAAAAGATTACCTCGCATGTTATATTTGTAAAAATACAAGTAAATTGTTAATAAAATCACGCAGGTATGTTTGATTGATATCTACTTGTTCTCTTAATTCCTTTTGTCTGGAATAATTTGATATAAATATCTCTCCCTCTTTTCCTAGACGATCTTAGTACCCTGGAAAAAATGTCTTATGTATAATTATATATAGAATATGTCCATGTATATATAAATAAAATATATAATTATATATTTAATATATGTACTTATATATAATAATATATAAGTCTATACGCCATTTCATACATAACTACAAATTTTTATATGTGGACATATTCTATATGTGACGCCTTACATGTAATTATATCCAATTATATATGGAATATTTTTTCTCGGCACGTCTCTCTCTTCTTTTTTAATAATCACTGATTTTCAAAGCGACCCTTAACTTCGCACCTGACGGAAAATCGTTCGGAATATATTGTTCGGTTGTTCATATTACGCCACAAATTATATAACGCGCATTACGGAATTCCACAATAAAAAAAGAATAGCGAGATTATCGCTGAGAAAGATGCTTATTGCTTCCTGGGTCATAAATACACTCTAATCAAAAGGAGACGGATATAAAAACGTAGAGGGAACATTAACGCGTCAAAATCGTTCCTCGTTAATCCTTCTTTCAGCCAGGAAGTGCGTTCGTCCTGCTGGATAGCTAATGAAGGGGTTCGAGCGGTTGGGTAGCGCAGCGGATGATAATTAACCGCTTCGCAAATACGCTCGGCTTTGGCGCATTCCATAAGCCAAAAAGCAGCCCGTGGAATTCGGCGGTTCAAAGTAAAGCAAATACACGCACATTTACATGCACACACACACAAAACGCGCGCGCCTGCGCGTAAGTGGGTATGTGTGCGTTTATATTGACTCGAAATCGCAGCGAGCTTAATACACGCCGTGGGAGACGTATGATGCCGGTAGCTATGTTGCTGACGTTTAACAGACGCATCACGATATTTATCGAGCGACTTAATGCAAATTACAAATATGAACGGCTCTCCGGCGAAATTGATGTAATAATATTTAACAACGGAGAAGTGTGCGCGCGAAAGTGCGCGCTCTCTGATATGAATATAATATTATCCATTCTTTTCATTCTTTTCTTTCTTTGTCTCGTATAACCATTTCAATTGTTTCACAACTTCGCGTTTCAACTTTCGTTATTTACACTATTGTTATTTACACAACTATTGTTATTTACACGTTATTTGTGTAATGTGTATTGACCTGCAAAAATATCAATATTGCTCAAACAAAGGCCGGTGGTAACGATGTTTCTGAATTGAGAACTTTGCGATTTCGGACTTTGAGTTGGCACATTTCTCTCCGTAAAGCATGCAAGGCAAAAACATAAACAGATTTCTTACGTGATCGGACCCTGAAGGATCGACTGAGTCCACTCGAAACTCAATCGGATCAGCCGTTACGGCGGTATGTTAATTTTGCTTAGGATCAATTAAAATAAGCATCGCGTAAATACACACGGCCGGCCTCGCGTCGCTCGCGCATTCGCTCAGCGCAAGTCATTATTCCGTGTCTCGATTAATAATTTACACGGAGCCAGGAGTATCTTGTACACAACTTATCCTTGATGTTGTGTTTTTTTTTCTTATTAAAGAGAGAGTTAAGAAATTTGTTCGAATAGAGTTCAATGAGGAAAAACGCGATCAGAACAACGCGTCTTGCGGCTGTTTCGGTAATTCCCGCGTGACTGCCATCTTCGATTTTCCGATAATTACCGCATAATAGCACCTATACAAGCACCTTTCAGACACTTTAAAGCGCCCTAAAAAGACGCCGAGAGAAAAAGGGTAGAACGAGAGAAAACTTCTCTCGTCGGTGGAACCTCCGCGCCTCCTTCCAGGAGCTTGTGAAAGCGGGTCGATCGCAGGCCATTAAAACAGCTCGACGATTAATTTAAATAAATGCACCGCCATTATGACCATGGAACACTTGCCTTACCTGTGAACGATGGTGGATATTCAAATACGGATCTCTTCGCCGAAAAGTCACGAAGTACTAATCTCCCGTGACGGATCGCGGGATTTCCCTCTGAAATATTCCGACGAAGAACCATGGGGGTAGCTTAATTTCGGGCTTGCGTAGCCCGAAGTTTCGACAACGCGAATCAATATCATCTTGAATCTGCCTCGGTAAGGGTCGAATAATTCAACGAAGAAAGAAGAAATTCTTTGAATTCAAAGAATATTCTCTTCCTCGATGCTTATACATAGAACTTTATAGAATATTGTGCGAATAATCACTGAGAGAAATTATAGTTTTGCTAACCACTACCTTCTTATAGTTTTAACCAAAAACAGTAATAACGACATGCATGTAAGATTATTATCACTAACAACTTGGATAGCATATATTAGTTTTATACATATTCTTTAAATGTACATATACGTTACGTTTCATAATTGTATTGCATACATTTAAAGAACATATAAGAAACTAACTATGCTATCTCTCTGGAACTATGGTAACTAGAGCTATTGTTTTTTTTTTCGAAGGCTTTAATGTTCGAAATTGGAATCTCCGAAGATTTGAAGCTTTAGTGTTCATTATTCGAATTTTGAAAATATCGAAGCTTCAAAATGATCGAAGATTAACAGCTTTACTAATAACACTTACTAGAAAATTAGTTTTCCTGACTATAATTCTTTTAATATGATAATTATGATAATTTCAGTATGATAATTATAATTACAAATACCTAATATTTTTCTCTCAGTGATGAATAACAATATGTGTATATATCTCTTATACATATGTATTATACAAAAGGTTGGGATACAAAAAAGAACGAGACGACAAGCAAAATTGCGCAGAGATGCACGTCAAAAAATTGGTATATATAATAACAATAATATATATAATATATATAACGTATATGCATGTATACATTGTTCTTATTATAACAAACTTCGTTTACCCTAACCTAACCCAAATCGCCGAAATCGGATTCGGGCGACCGTTTACACAATGTGTGTGTGTGTGTGTGTGTGTGTGTGAGTGTGTGTGTGCGTGTGTATGTAATATGTATATATAATATCATAATATATTATATTTATAATATATATTAACATTTTGCATCTTTTGCGTGGACTTCCTTGGAGATGCTTAAACCTAGCGCATTGTAAATTACAATAAATCGGTTGCCCTAAAACCCGCCTCGGACCTTCGCACCTTCCGCTTCGAAATTGGACGTCTTCTTCCTGTAGTCGCCTAAACGTGCGCCGGAACGTTAATCCTTAATCCTAACGTCTACCCTAATCGCTTCGATGCATATTGAAAAAACGTTGGAAAACACCTCGATGCGGCGCTTGGCGCCGCGCGAAAAACTCGAATTATATCAAATTTGCGGACGAACGATGCTTTCGCAGTATATGCCGGATAAATTGCCGTAATAAATGCATTAAGTAGAGCGTTCAATATGATACACTGACAAACGGTAAATCTAGAATTCCCGATCGTTTCTCTTTCTCATCGATCTCGACTCGACTTTCGCGAGCTTGTCGGAAAAAGTGTCCCGGGTTGTTCTTCCTCGCCGGGGGAAGAAGGGGGTGCGCGTTTCGCAGGGGCGCGGAGGAGCGCGGCAAGTTCGTAATTCGTAAGGTAATCTCCCTTATAGATCACGACTCGACTCGAGCAGGACCTCTCTGCGAAATATCGCGGACCTACTTCGACCCCTCGCTGCGGAACCTCGCGTGCGTTCGACGTTCCATAACTCCGTCAACACAGTTAAGGTAGTTAAAACCGCTGAGCGCGCGATTAAGCAATTAACACCGTGAAACCATGTTAACGCAGTTAAGATACGAGTTCGCCCTTAACAACGCGATCGTGCGATCGTGTTAATCCTCCGTACACGATCAGGATTCGCGCTGATCGTTTCGCGCGCAGAGAGTGACGGACCCGGAGCGAAGCGACGGATAAAAGTGCGATACGTGACGCCGTAAATACAGAGAAGGGTCGGCGCCGTGCGTTCGCTCGCGAGAAAGAGAAGATTTTTTCGCGGACAGATGATCGCGTGGCGGTCGATTCTCGTCTCGCGCTGCGCGACGAAGGAACTTCTATCTCGACGAGGGGAGGACGCGTCTTTACCTTATCCTCTCTCCTCGAATCGCTACTAGCGCAAGAAACATGTGATCTAGAGAACAAGCTTGTCTCATGACAGTGCCGGCGCCGAGCGGTCGTTAGTCTTCGTCTTTCGCAGCTTCACAGTCGCGAATATGTTAGTCCTGAAAGGCGTTAATCGTGGTTAATCGGGGCGCAGGGGGCTGGGTCCGTAATTACTGGACACCGGTCACGTACGAGCTCTGGAATTTCGAGCGAACGAAATGCATGTATGTGTGTTTCTGTGTGTGTCGTAAAACAAAAAAAGGGACTTTCCCCGGGAGGATACTCCGCGAGAATACCACCTCGTTAATATCGTATTCTTCCGGCGTCTCGTTTGTGCGGGTCGAACGACATCCCGACGTCGAATGTGTGTGAGATTGAATTCAAGCGATTGCTTAAATCCTAAATTCCTAAGTCCTAAGTACAAGGAAGAAAAAAAGAGACACGTGCGATCTCGGGCCAATCTGCGATACAATTAAAGCGACCGGTAAAAACGTAAAAATGGCAAGAGTCTGAAACGGTTGCGAGTGACCTAGCAAACGACTTTCACTGTGCCAGCAATAGCAAAACAGAGAGGAAAAAAGAGAGAGAAAGAGAGCCAACGCGTGCAGCATACGGTAGACAATAACACACTGTTCGCAACCGATGAGGCGATGCATCATCCGATACGGTTGCTCGCTCCTTCTCTGTAGAGGAGATAAGACGCCTAGAAGTCGTCGCAAAAGTGTATCGAGCGCTTTCTTCGACGATGCTGCAAGCTCCTACAACATCAACAGCCAATCGTTGAAGACGAAACAAAGCAACGGGCAGGATTCAGCCAGTGCGAGCACAACACATCGAAACTGAGTGCGGAGTCGTTCATTCGCGAACCTATTCGGTGGCCACGGAAAGATTCGGGATGAACAAGCTGGTCGGAAGAACCTAAGGGGTTTGTTGGGGGGTGAGAGTAATGGTGATGCAAGGTGGTGAAAGAAAAGAAGAAAAAAAAAAAAACGAGCGCGAGCTCGGTGTTTGTTCGACGATTCAAATCCACTTGCCGATTTGAATCCCCGCTCGTAAAAATTACGCGAGTGCCAACCGAACCGAAGGAGAAACAAGAAAATTCCAAATAAGATTGCAAGCAAAGTGAGCAGCCGCCTCGCCCATTCCACGCTTTCTTCTTCTTTCGCTTCTGCTTCTTGAGAAAAAAGACTCTAGTTTCTAATTCTTCTCTTCGTCCTTTCTATATTCCACTTTTCGCTCAGCGTTCTCATCATATTCGTCTCTCGACTTCGACATCCATTCGCGACCTCTTCATGTTCCCCACCAGCAGTCGCCCTCATTGCTGCTTCTTCTTCTTCTTCTTATTAACGGACGCGTCCACGCCCCAGAGATCGTACCACGGGCCGCAGGTGTTCCTATCCCGGTCGGAGTCCCGTCTGAGCTTGGTCCTCGGCAGCAGCGTCTTCTCCGGCACGCTCTGGTCCTTGACGACGATGCAGCTGTACGTGGACTCCTCGTCAGAGGCCTCGGTCTCGCTGAAGTTGAGCGTCGCGTCCTCCTCGTCGTCGTAGTTCCTCCTGCCGCGCGTCATCATCTCGTTGCGCTTGCTCTCGTTGTTCTCCTTCAGCTCGGCGACGATCATGTTCCGCTTGGCCTCGAGGCTGCGCCTGCGCTCCTTCTCGATGATCGCCTTGCGCGACACGTTGCCGATGAAGTACGTCCGCTCCTCCGGTTGCATCCTGTACTCCGACCTCTCCGAGACCTTCGGTCGCTCCGCCGGTGTCGGGAAGTCCTCGAAGTAGTCCGTCTTGTCCGGCACGTGGCTCCTCTCCGCCGGCTTCGGCTCGTCGTGCCGCTGATGCTCGTTCGTGATGGTACCCTCGCTGTTGCCCAGACTCGAGCTCGGACTGCCGCCGTCGGAGTTCCTCTGCTTCTCATCGTGCTCCGCCGACTTGTTCTCCCTGCGGATCATCTTCGGGATGTCGACGAGCGAGCGGTGCTGCCAAAGCGCCATACCCTCCAGCACCTCCGAGTCCCGGCGGAACTTCCAGAAGGACTTGGTGCGCTTCACCAGTTTCGGGCTCTTCTGTTCCTCGAGGGCTCGGCCGGTCTGCCGCGGCTTCCGCTCGGCCTTCATCAGTGTGTTGTTGTTCGTGTCGCCGTTGCTGTGCTCGTTGGACCTCGACGCATCGTTGCGCTTCTGGAGGCCCGGGTGGTAGCCGTGTCTCTCGATCACCTTCGTCCTCTCCAGCTTCGTCTCAAAGTTCGACTCGTAGCCACGGTCTCTCTCCAACGAGCTCGCCCCGTACCGGCCGGTCTCTCCGTAGATCACCTCCTCCTTGTCGGAGTACCTGCGCTCCCGGTAGGGCCCTACCGGCCGCTCCGGAGCCTCCTGCGACGGCGGCCGAGGTCTCTCGAAGCGCCGGCTCGACAGTCGCTCCACCGTCTTGTTCCGATTCTTCTCGAAAGTTCGCTCGTAACCCACCACTTCCTTCCGCTGCTCCAAGTACGCGCGCTCCTGCTCGTTCCTGGTCGAGCGGCCCCGCTGCTCGTACGACTGAGCTTCCTCCCGGGGCCTCTGGAAGCTCGGCTTGTCCTCCCGCGCGCGCTCGAAACTCTGCTTGTCCTCCCGCGAGCGCTCGAAGCTCGCCTTCTCCTCCGCCCGAGAGCTCCGCTCGAAAGCTTGCTCGTCTTCGCGAGAGCCGCGCTCGAGCGAGTGCCTGTCGTCCCGTGGCCGCTTCTCGTCGCGTGGCCGTTGCTGCTTCTCCTCGCGCGGCCGCTCGAACGATCTCTGCCCGCCGGCCCCGCTTTCCCGACCCCGCTCTAAGCTCTTGTACTCCGTCGTCGGCATCCGCTCGCGTCGCGAATGCACCGTCGGCTCGCGCATGTTCCGCTCCAGGCTCTTGTACTCGGTAGCCGTCGATCGGTCACGCCGCTCCAGGAACTTGGGCGGGCTGTGCTCGCGCGCGTACTTCTGCGCCGTCTGCTCGAGCTTCTGCGCGATGTGCTCGACCTTCCGCCCCGGCTCCGGGATGGTGATGGTGCTCTCGTCGTCGGACTCCGACGGCGAGCTCGAGGACTTGCCGTACTTGTCCGCCTCGAAGCCGTTCCCGCCTCTGCGCTGCTCTTGCTGGCTATCCTGACTGTCCGAGTAGAATTTGCCAGCGCGATACTCCGCCGCGCCGAAGTCCTCCTCGTCCTCCTCGAGCTCGTCCTCCTCGGTCTCCGTCTGCGTGCGCTTTTCGACGCGACGCTGCTCGCCGCGCCGGCTGGCGGCCGGCGCGCCTCGGTCGTCCGACATCTTCGTGCCGGTTGTGCGCTGATTCGGGCTGGGTCGCTCGTTCGTCGGCTGCGTTTTCTTGCTCTTCCGCTTGCTCTTCGCCACATCGCCGTTCTCCAGCGCGAAGTCGCCGTTCTCCATCTCGTAGTACTTCTTGGCCTCCTCGCTGGCCTGATTGGCCTTCGACTCCGCCCAGAGGTCCATCGCGGTGCGATACAGATGCCAGGACTTCTCGTCCCGCGGGATCGTCTTCCAGGAGTCATTCTCCCAGTCCTTCGACTGCTGCTGCTTCTCGTCCTTCGGAGGCGCGCGTTCCCCTCCGCCCCGCGGCTTCCGGCGCCGTTGTCTGCGTGCGCGGCGCGGTGAATAAAATAAAGAAAAAAAAGGGGAGGGAGGGGGGAATGAGAGAGAGGGCGAGAAGTCGGAGAAGATGCGGAGGACTATCACCATGGCGGTTTTATTTCCAGCGACCACGATAGCGCATGCGGTATCTACAAGAAGGAGAGATACAATTTCGAAGAAACGGGAGATAAATTGTTTGTTTTCGTTCTTCTTTTCGTGAGGGTGATGCGGGTGACGCGGTCGGTTTCAATTAACGTCGGGCAAAATTGATTGGGAACTCTTTCACCATCGAAAGATCAGAAATATTGAAGCAGAGATGAAAAGTCCGGATGAAGCCGATTCTCAGTCTCGAATGCAAAGTGGAAAATTGAAATAAAATCGTGAGTAACGCGATGCTAAAATAATGATTTAACCAGCGCGCTGCAACGTGAGACGGCGAACTAAAGTTGCGAAGAGAAACGGAAATATCAAGGTGAAAAACAGATAAATGGAATATTATCAAATATTGACGAGAGAAGATCTCGTAACCTCGGTCAGCATTCATTTTTTCTCCCAAACTGGGAAAAGGAAAAAAGGGGATGATAATCGTACCTACCGAAACCAGTTTAAGGACCGCCAAGTCAGACTTACCATGCCAATCATGTGCCGATCCGTACACCAGCAATCCTGTTACGTCTCTTGCGAATTTCGCGGAATTGCTATTAACAACGGACCGTCGAGAATGCACAGTCGCACTATTGAGAGCTACGTCTAAATTTCAAAAGCCGGCTAATTTATAATAATCTCATTTGCACGACGATGATCGAGAGCAAGCCAAGTGGACGCGCAAATCGCGTACTTCGTTATTACGACAATCCGATTTTCGCGTCATCCGAAATTAATTACGGCGGCACACCATACGCGGAACCCTCCGCGCGCAAAACCCACGTGTCTACACGGCACAATCCACCATCCTCGAGTCTTTATTTCTCACAATAGCATCACAAACCAATCCAATTGAGTACCGAGGGTGAACGGAGGTGGGGCAGCGGCAGGGAGGTGCAGATCGTACTAATTACAGGGGGACAGCAGATAGCAGAATGGCGAAGCTACGAGGCGATGATACAAAGCTCCAATCGCGCTGAATAGGGCAAAGCGGGGGTGCGCGCTTATCGGCTGGTTATCAGGGTGTAATGTCGAGGGCGAGGGGGAGGGGAGCAAGGGTATCAAAGGGCCAAAAGGCCCCAAGTACCGAGTAATAAGTGATTCACTCGGACATCTGCGGATGCACAATGACGGTCTACGTTTCTACTACGTGCGAACCAAACTCTGGAAACCGGTATAATTCCGCGACGATCGATTCTCCATTGTCGTCGCGAGCAGACGTAAAAGTTTTATGTCAGTCGTAGCGAATAATTGTAACGATCCGCGACAGTTTTCCCAGCTTGTCTCGCTCTGATTTGAGCACGGCGAAATTACACCGGTTTCCATCCCCGTCATAAACTACGTGAACCAAGTAAATCCTCCGTCAACGATAATGACCGAGGTGATTCGAGCCACGTGTTACGAAAGTCTCTTTCTCCGCGTGTAACTTCAATATATTTATATTTTTTTATTATATATATATATATATATATTTTACAAAAATTTTGTACCGCAAGATATATATATATATATTAAAATAAAACATATATATTTTTATATAAAACAATATTTTTATCTATGACAGTACACACAATGAATTATTACATTAGCAATATAAACAAATCACTAAAGCGCTGAAAGCAACATAGATCCAAAGTAAAATAGATCCAAGGTACAGCACCTTTTCCTATCGTTAAAGAAAAATATATATATATATTTTTCGTCGTTTTTAATTTTACAATGTTAATATCTTCGGACCACGCAACCAATAATAATGTTCCTTTCCTTGAACAAGTAGCAAAACTTGTACTACGTAGTTTACACACGGGGATTCCGACCGAACATCACACACGTACGACGAGCAGACGTAAGTTCACGCAACCTGCGGCGTGCACGTTAGACTTACCTCATTGCCTCGTCGTCGCTGTAATCGACGTCAGGCTGGACCGGCGGCTCGTTGGAGAAACCACTGTCGTTGCTGCTGTGGAGGGACGTCATCGCCGGGGGTGGCACTGGAGGTACGGGCGGCTGTACTCGTCGGCCTCCGGCCAGTACGGCGGGCAGTGTGCCCGATGGACGGATCTGAATGCCAAAACGTAAGGGTGTCTTCCACGTCTCGCCTCCGAAAGTTCTCCCTAATCAATCTCGGGGATTGCGACGCGGCTACGGCGGTGTTGCGCAAGTTCGCTCGAAGTTCCGCGCGGGCGTCTCCCGACAACGACAATGTCGATTACCGAAGTATCGAGAGCAACCGCCGAGTCATCTCGTTAATTAGCGCGAGAAGGAACGACTCCACCCTCGATGGCGTGACTCTTGAAAACTCATTACAATCGAAACGTTTCTTATCGCTCTTTGCCGAGAGAACTTCGCCGATTTCACCGTTCGACGAGTCTTCTTGGATCTTTTTCTACGCTGTTAACTCTCGCGAGGAAAGGTAGGAGTCATCCATGAGCCCAGCAAGAGAGACGGTTTTCTTTGTTACGTAATAATAATAATATTCATCTATTATATAATTATATCATAATTATTATATAATTATATAATAACTCGGGAGTCAAATCAACTGATTATAATAGTTTCGGAAAGATATACTCGTGCTTATTGTTCCGTATGATTTTCGCGCCCTTTCCTTGTTTTAATCAAGCAGAATGCATATTCATATATTTCGGTCGCTCATGAGCCCTCCTTTCCGTTCACGTCCTGCTCGCCCACCTTTTCTCGCGAGAGTTGATAACATTAATTGAACCGTCGTAACACCAATAGAACTAGCGATTTCACCGTTTTCTAGACACGTCCTGCGGATGTGCGGGCTTACCGATTTCGATTGGCGCGCGGTCGGAGTCGCCAAGACGCTCGGGTTATTGGTCGGCGTGCCGGCAGCGCTGCCATTGTTGCCGGCGTTGTTGGTGCTGTTGCTGCTGTTATTGTTGTTGGCGGAGCTGTTGCCAGCACCGGGAGCTCCTACGGACGGCTCATCGATACCGGCCGGCGTGACCGGCGGTCGAGAGGGTGGTGGTTTGCACGGTGGAATCGCCTGTGGCTCCGGTGTACGACCGTTGCTCGCTCCGTGACTCGGCGATCTTTGTACGATCGGACAACGCATTCGTTTACATCGCTTGGTTAACGTCTGCCCCGTCGCGATTCTACGAGTCGCGTGAGCGCGCAATTGCAAATACACACATATAAGTGTCGTCGATTATATATGTATATATATATATATATCTGATATTTTCGCGAGTTCGAATGAAATTCTCCGTTGTTTATAAAATGTTGCCCGTACCCGGCCGATCGATGCGACTGAACGTCGCAACGGCACAATTGGCGGTTGTTGTTATGTACGGATAAATTGTTACATGTTTTTCGACAAATAATTTACACGCTACACGGGGGGGTCGAAACAAACAACGAGAGAATCGCCGACGGAACATTAATTGACACTTAACGGGACACATCGGAGAGGCCGATAATAATATTCGGTGCGCGACAATAATATTAAATTCTATTAAAAGATTGTGTTTTTCGCCGGCGACTTTTAAATGCGCGCAATATTGGCGCGAGAAACAGCCGGAGGGCGCGACCAGGGGAGGGGTTAATAACGAGTGATCGTGAACGCGAAATTTCGATATTACCGCACTTGAGGTCGGGAGGCGAGGGTTTACTCACCCTAAAGTGTCGTCGATTATAATTTCGGTATACGCCAGGGGAAACCACCCCGAGCTCTGAGTGCGGAGGTTCTCGCCAAATTGCCATCCCTTCTGCCGGTCGCCTGATAAAAAAGAATAGAAAATATGCAAATCCGCGGAGAGCGAAACTCCGCGCGCTTATATACATCCCGTTCTGATTAACATTTTTTTCCTTCCCGCCGACCGAGCTCTGCCCTCCTCTTTTCCTCCCATCCCTCTTAAATACCGTTGACGTTCAGGCCGCTTATTTAGATAGCGCGAAATAACCTGGCCTTGCTTTATCGAGCCCTCCCATCTTTATCGCTCGCAGTAAGAGCTCACTAATGTCGATGAAAATCGTAATTCCTATTTAAGCGCGTAATTAAGCGCGTTTCTCTTCGTATTATTTTCCATTTCCTCCCTCCCTCAGTTCCACGGGAGATCGCGTTTACGGCGGCACGGTGCAACGGTCCCGCGATCCCAAGAGCGATAGTTCCCGGATACCGGTGTGTATCGACGGCCAGACAGAGAGATCGGACTCACCCATCAGTGCGATGAGATCACCCTCCAGGAAGCTCAGCTGATTCTCCCCCGAGCTGAGGTAGGCGAAGAGAGCCCTGGCGAGGGGCGCATCCCCCCAACCTCCTGCGCTGACCCCAGTCCCGCCGCCGCTGTTACGGGACACGGGGGGCGCCATGGATCGAGGTCGGGGTGGGGTCTCTGGAACCTCTGGAAACCAGAAGCGCTGTAACTGACCGAGCCGCTGTGGCACACGGAGGGAAGAGGACGAGGGAGGCAGGCTGGCAGGGAGGAACGACGGGAGGATGAGCCTGGGATAATGCGGGGGTAGTTTCGGGGTAAACCAGGGCAATTAGGTCAGCGACGATAGCGGTCGGGCTGGAGGGCGGACGGGGCATCATCCCCGAAGGGACATCGAGAACGGACGCAGGAGGTGGGGCTCGTGTCCGATCTGTGAGAATTGTCCAGAAATATCGGCGACGTATTATTAACGTTGCGCGCGCGCTCGACCCGGCTGTTTGTAAGTGTGGTGAATTAATCCGGCGCGAATATTAAACGCGACGCGCCGCGTTCGCACGTTGATTTTCGACGTTGAATTAATTGCGAAAGGGACACGGTCGCGAGATTAATTAAAGCTTTAATTCGCCGTAACAAACGCAACGGAGATATTTGTGCGCGCGCGCGCGCGCACATTGCGCGGCCGTTTTTCGCGCTTGTTTGCGCGCTCCGCGTTTGTCGAACTCGCGGATGTTGTTGCGCAAAATAAGTCGATATAAACGCGGCGCGAAATATTCACGCGCAACGTTATTACTACGCGCACGGAAGTCCCCCTCCCTCCTCTGACCGCTTTTCGGCGGCTGTCCGCGCGTAATTTTTTGCCGTTGCTTCCGTTCTTCTCTTTAGCGCTTCCGACTGCGCTCTCTCTTTAAACGCGCAAAATGCGACACGCAGCGGCGGGAAAAAGAGAGGGAAGGAGGGAGGGAGCTCGTCATAAAGCCTAGCCGTGTAATGATGGGCGTGATGGAGCAGCGTGACATGTGACACGCGACACCGCGACGATGAAATACGGGCTCGCGTCGCGTAGCACAAACGAAAGCATATTCCCCGGTTTTATTGCGAGGCCGTCCGGGGAGTGAGCGCCCGGGGCTTCGGCGCGTCCGCGGAATCCGATCGCGGCTGAAATTTATACGACCGGCACGACAGGACTCGCGAAAAGGTAGTGGAAACGTCAGCGCGAAACGCTCCATCTCGCCGCTCCGCGATTTTTCTCGATCGGCCACCCCCNCCCCGCGGCCAATCTGTTATTGTTGCGTCGTCGTTGTTGTTGCGCGGGCGCGGTGTGACGGACGAGCGTGCAACTCGCGAAGCCGGGTAATTCCAGTTTAAAGATACCTCCCGTCCGCGCGCGCGCGCACGGTGTTCGATCGTTTTAATCGCAAAATAAATTCACGCGAGCGGTTATCTCGATTAAGCGGCCGGCCGTGAAACGCACATCGCGCTGCGATAACGACGGACTTAATCGTTCGTGGAACAATTACAGGATTATTTGGCCGGATAAGTTCGGCCCGGTCCGGTTCAATTTAGTTCAGCGGGAATTAGTTTAGTTCGCTTCGGTTCAGGCCATGACTTAGACGCGAGCGTTAATAAGGGCGCGGCGACGATGGCGACGGCGGAGGCGGCGAATTTTCGGCATGGGTGCGCAGCGTAGCGCATAGCGAAAATCGATATCATTGTCGCAGAGGAGAAAAAAGGAAAAAGAAATGGACGACGTACCGGGGCCGAGGGATAACGTCGAGGCGTGCAGGTTGGCCTCCGACCTCGCTCTGGAGAGGGCGGCGGGGAGATGCGGCATCGGACCGAGGTGACCAGCGGACGACGGCGGATTCCCGGGTAGCGGGCCCAGTCGCAGCTCCAGGCAGGAGCTGTCCATGCTGCGGGTCTTCCTCAATTGCGAGCTCATAGTCGTCAGCTCGGAGCCGCCGTTTTCCTCGTCCTCCGGCCAAAACGACGCCTGCTGCGCCGACCGGCGAAACGTTAATTTTCCCGACCGAGCGTCGCTCTGCTCGCTCACCGATAACGCGCGGGATTCCGCGTTGCACGCGATTCGCCGATGGAACGCGGCGCGGAATTCCGCGGTACGGTCGGAATTCGCCGCTCTCCGAGCGGCGAGGAGCCTCGAAAAATCGCGTTATTACAGAGAAACTGTGAGAGACCGGCATCGCGCGACACCGGGACTGATGGGCCGAAAGGGCGAGTCTCCGTCGTGCGTGGAACTACGTGGAAAATTTATTAACGCGAAATACGATATACGCGTGATCTCGTGCTAAAAAAAAGGATCTGGTAAGTAGTGAAATTGGCGAATATTTGCCGGCGAAATATCTGATTACCGCAACCGAATAATTTAGTTCCGTAGTATTGAATACCCGGAACTGTACTGCATATACTATATATATGTATACAGTATACGGGACTGGATTATTTGGTAGCAATAATCAAATATTAATCCGCAAATATTCGCTATATTTTAGTGTTTATTACCAAATCCTTTTTTTCAGTGCGAGAATCATCCGACATATTCACTGCCAGTCGTATTTTAGCTGACTTCCTGCCCTCGCTAATTGGATTATTGTTTATTAACATATTCGTTGCACGACAAAAGCGTCACATACTATAAGATATTCTCGTAAATAAAGATTATTTTAAGTATGTGATTTAACGACAAGGATCACGTAGATCGATCTTCATCGCCGCGTCGAATTACGTCGCACGATAGCTGCTCGCGGACAACGCTACGCGAAGGGAGTCGCGCACGATGAACTCCGCTCGCGAATTTACCCTGAGTCTGGAAGCGAACATGTCCTCCACGGACTGGGGCAAGTATTCCCTGGTGGCGGCAACCTCGCGCCATTTATCAACCGAGGGATGAAGCGCGGCCAGTGCAACCTCATGAAAACTCGCATAGTGCTTCGCCAAGGAGCATTGTCGCTCCAACACGAAACCGTATCGTCGTCTCTCCTGAGTCATCGCCTGTGAAAAGAACGCGCAAAGAGCCAGCCTGTTAATGAAGCAGCGCCGTTAATGAATCTCATCGCGTAATCCATCATCCGCGTCGTCCCCTTTCGCATCTGATAATCGCTCGCACCCCGCGAGAGATTCGCGCGTTGCATTATCTTACTCTTGTATGACGCGACTTTGGAAATATCGCTGATTAATTACACGAATGTTTATAGCGCTTGGGATTTAGCGCAGCTTCGTGCTCCCCTTTTGTCTTCTAATCATATTTACAGCCAGCTGTTGTTAGTTAAGTCTTCAAAATCAAGAAGCTCGACGTTGCGTTAGCAATTACGGCGAACTCCGAAGTATCGTAATTCCGAAGGAGTTCGGAGAACTCGGAAGATCTATGCTCAAATCACGCGGCTCCAAAAAAGCCAAAATTCAAAGAGGGTATTCGAAAGATTATTATCTTTAAATTATGATTGTTATTCGATTCGTCTGGAACGTGTACGAAACACATCTCTTAGACGAATTAGCTTTCTTATGGGCAAACCATTGCCACTTACCTCACATAATTATGACACGACTTCTAATCCTTTGGAATTATTATTTCTTAAAGATAGGGAGATTCTAAACGACTTAATTTTCCTTTTTAAAGTATTGAGAGGATTAATTGATTGCCCTTCATTGCTACGGCTGGTCTTGTTCAATGTTTCCACTCAAGATATTATCTCCTCTTTTATATTAGATTGCATCTCTTTATAGCAAATTTAAAACTTTAAATAGATTAACATTGCACGCGAGTGATTTAAGTAATAACGATTTCAATTGCACGCCCTTGGCAATCTTCATATCTGATATTATAAAATTTTTACGTAATATATAAATTCCTGTACTTGCAATTAATTATTATGTATTTTTGTGTCAAAGGAATGCAATTCCTGTAAATAAATGAAATAAAATGAAATAATCCCAATAAATGGGAAACTCAAAAGATCCAAGTTCGAATGGCGAGATTTGCGAAAGGGTAAAATTCAAAGGGTAAAATAAAAATGCTTAACTCAAAGCTCGATGTTGTGTGTTGGCAATTATTGAACTTCAAAGTATCGTAATCCCAACAAATGGAAAGCTCAAAAGATCCAAGTTCGTATTATGGCGAGGTTCGAAAAAGAGCTAAATTCAAAGAGGCAGCGAAACACAAACGTCCCGAAAACGTCTGTAGACAATCCTAAGCGACGCAAGACAATGTAATTCCGCGGTGTGTCACTCACGTTCTTCAAGCTCTGCTCGCAGAAAGCGTCGAGTTTGGTCTTCTCCTCCTCGAGGATCTGCATATTCTTCAACTCCTTGTCCATGGCGAGGCCGCTCTTATTCGCGGCCCTGGATTTCTTCCTCTGCTTCTTCATAGTCGCGGCGGCCTTGCTATATGTCTCGGATCTGGTCTTGTGTTGCTGGAGAAACTTCTTCTGCTCGCTCTGGAAGTTCACCCGCCCACGTAGCACGTTGCATTATTCATCGCAACCGGAAGTCGGGGTCCCCGGGGATCGCTAATGCGCCTTCCGGGGATCAGTTTCGGTGATTTACTTACCTGGACGACTTTTGTGTCTTTCTCCAGGTTGGTCTCCAAGGGCACCAGCAGGTCCACGTAGAACGCTTTCAGCTGAAATGCAAAACGTGACGTGGTAAGTTGAGAGGGACAGATCGTGCGGGAATAACACGCAGGAGTTCCGATAGTCTCCGTCGGGACGGATACGCGCGAGAATTAGTTTCGGTAATAACGAGGCATCATACGAGCATCAAATTGAGATACGCACCGTTGGATAATGAACATAATTAAGAGGCATTCAGACGTGCCGCCGACATTAGCGGCCTAAGGACAAGAGGATTAACGCGAGCTTCCGCGTCCTCGCGATTGGTGCTAAGGGGACGATGTTTCTTTATTTCCGCGGCATCTCGAGTTCGCTCTGAGAGCGCAGCTAGACAGGCTTTACAAGGGACTCGAGCCAGACCTAATTTATACTCGCAGACTCGCAGGAGTAGTCCTCGGTTGGATGTACTCCGACGTAAAACGCCGCAACGACTGCTGTGCGACGACGGCGACGACGACTGCGGGAGGAAAGGCGCTCTTTATTCTTTTTTATTAGCATCTTGAGAAAGCGGCACGGGAGAATAATAAAAGCTACGCGCGAAATTCCGCCTAATGGAAAAAGAGTGTAACGTTATAAATGTAACGGTAATGTAACTGTTATAATATAACGGTGTAACGCAATTTCGCGGCAGAGAAGGAGGGGATGTGAAAGAGAAGATGAATTACAAATGGTGCGCTTTCAAGTTAGTTGGAAAATTTTACCCGTTCATTCTGAAACTCTGCCTGTGTACAATTGCAATAATATGATATGCTTTAATTATGTAGATATTCATTATAATATCTTAGTGAACTACAATACATATTTCGATATAATTATATGGCAAATATCATATTATGCGTTATTGTGAACGCAATAACGGTACCGAAATATGCCACGTAAAGTCCACTAAAATAAATAAGAAAATTCAATTCCCGTAACTTTTCAACCCGAAGTTCGCGACCAGCGAATTCGACATTTTGATTTCTGCCAACTCGGCAGCAGACGTTCGGTCCCGGCAAAATCTCGACATGAAAATTCGATTCTACGGAAATCAAGTTCCCCGAGGCTCGTCCGACCTCGATTATCCTTCAAGACACACCTCCTTCGCCCGCCTCCGCAATCAAATCACTGCTCCCTTCACTCCTTCCGGTCAAACACGTCGGGACATCTGTGAGGTATGATTTTCCAACCGCGATAACGATATGCCTTCATGTTTGCTAGCCACTTCGATCCATCAGCGTATTAAGCCTTTCGCTTTCCCCGCCGTCCGCGTTTCTTCGAGAGCCTCCACCCTCTCACGCTCGGCCGTCCTTCGTCCTCTCGCTTGCAACCCTATCCGCCCCCGACTCCACGAGTTCGCGTTTCAGGAACAAGTTGTTTGTTTTACAGTTCGAGCACCCTTCGCCTCGCTTTTTGTACGTCGCTCAAAGGCAGGCGGATTGCAGCCGACCGTTGCTATGGCGGCGGTGCGTGGAAGGAGAGGAGGAAGAGGCGAATCCGTCCTTTTTATCCGCTTTTTTTTCATCTTCTCTCCCTCTTTCACCCCCTCCCCTACCCTCCTCCTCCCCTCGTGCTGCCGCAAACGTGCGAATCTCTACGCACTACGTGAATTTAATCCGCGAGCTTTTAGAGAGTGGTCGTCGATTTTTATTGGGAAATTCGGCGCTCTTTATGTCCGATTGCGAGCGCAGCCGCTATTTTGGCGGTCCGCGTACTTCAGCTGGCCGTCGGCCGAGAATCACGGCCCTTCCGGTGTGCGCGAGCGCGCTTTTCTGCGCGGACTTCCGGTCACGCGGCCGGATATCGGAGAACCGGATTTCGACCAGTGGAAGAAAACGTGTAGGGTTACGGGCTTCTATTTGCGCGTCGTTACGAAGAAATATGGCAGTGTGCATTCGTAAATGTCAACGAACGAATATAACATCTCATATTTCTGAAATATCGGAAATTAAAATTAAAGTTAATCTTAAAGTTGAAGCGATCTTGTACAAAGTTTCCCCCGAAAGATTGATTGAATGACTGGTTACACGGCATCTTTATCTTTTTTTATACATAAAGAAAAAGATTTCTTTGGATATAATAAAATTTCTTTAATTGCCTTTTACAACATTTGTCTTTTATACTTCGTGTTCTTTCGTACTTTCATTCGAATGTTACAATGGTTGTCCCAAGCAATAAATTATTTGATAAAAGTAATGCTCTGTTTGTCTCTTATTTAAATATTACAGGACTTTTTTATTTCAGTGGAACAATATACAGTGAAATAAAGGAACTTTTATCTCCGTGTACGGTTTTTATAAAGAAAAAAATACGTGATTTTCTTTTAATGATTCAACAGCAGCAATATGAACTATTTTCTGCGGTAAAACAGGAATTTCAATCGTGAAGGAATTCTCGTATTTTCCGAAGTGTCAAGGGGGTGTTAAAAGTCACTCGACCGCGGATTAAAATATCCGCGAAAACTTGGCAAAAGGGTCTCGAATTCGTTCGCTTATCGATCGATTGTAAGAATACGCGTTCGCCAAAAAGCTGCGAAGTAATGCAAGCTACGTGCAAGTCTCGCCCATCCCGATAACCCCGCCGCCCTCCGCCGGACTTGGCACTCGCCCTTCTCTCTCACACGTGGCACTTTCTCCACTTGCTTCTTTCGGACGCGCTCGAGATAATCTTCGTCTGGAGTGCGTTTTTCAACAACCAATCGTGACGCAGCGCGCATAAAATGGCTATGCTTCCTTCTTTCGGGAATCCCCCGAGGAATCGGAGGTCATTAACCCTCTCGCTAACAACAACCCGGATGCTCATTACAGACGGATGCTCATTACGGATGCTCATATGGACATACTACTTTCTTAAATTTAATTATACATATCATAATTATTCATATATATTAACACTCTTCAACATTATACATATAATATCTATTAAAAGATTAAAATAATCTCCAACATTATACATATAGTATTTATTAAAAAAATAAAATAATCTCATTTCGCTAATTGGCAATTGAAATTATGAAGATACATCAATGGAAAACTTCCTCCTTTATTTAATATTATGTAGAGCAATGTGTATTTCAATGCGAAATTGTCATTTTCAATGTATTTAGCACGAAAATATAGTTTTAGAAATAATAAAATGTGGAAAAAGAGACGGCACATAAACGCCCTTTTTACCCTTGATAATACCACGCGGATCACCGCGGATGTACAAGCGTATCATGAATGTACGGGGATAATTAACCAAGTTTGCCCGCGCTTTTAGTTGAAAAACATCACGCTACATTTAATATTATTAAAAGTACCGCGGCAACGGCACAAAAGGGAATGTTCTTAGCTGGCGCTCGGGACAAGTTAGATCACTGGAGGGACATTTTCGCGGGGAGGCCGGCCGGAACGAAATTGCAAAACGCGATGGCGGTGAGTGTCCGAGAGAGGGTTGCGAAGTCGTAATAACCACATGTCGTTACGGCCGCAACGAGATTCCATCCTCAAACGGAACGCCTGCGGGGTGTAATGTCGCCCCCGAGCCAAGCAGAGGCAAGCCGCAGGATCAAAGAGGTTCCCGTGGACTTCCACATGCCGTAGAACCGTTCTACGGGGTGTAACAGAATCAGAAGAGACGATAGTGAAGCATGACAAGGCGACTGAGAGTTTACCCTTTCATATTTCTTGAAGGGTATCTAATGGCGATATTATGCGTGTCTCCCTTCTCTCTTCGTTCACTCGAGTTCTCAAAAGTGAATTAGACAAAGCGAATACAGTAACATTATGTTCTGAGCGATTGATTCTAATCGCTTCGACTCGTTTATCAATCGGTTAATTTTTGCGATTTTTCCGTTAAGATTCGTTGTTAGTATTTCCGGTGGCGTCTCTCCGCCGAGAGAGGTTGTAAAATTCCTGCTGACCGAGCGAATATAGATAAACAAAGAGACGCGAGTTTCTGCTAGATTAGGCTTGGCACTAGACGAAGGCGAAGAGGACTTCTTTACGAATTCTGGCAGACGCGACCGGAGTCTGACGTAATCTCCGGAAATGGACGGTGCTGGGGTGGAAGACAGACGGAAAAAATGGAAGAGGGAGACAATGCCCCTGCTTTTAGCCGCTCTACAAAGTGCTCCGGAATATTATCCGATCGCGATAAAAGATCTTCCTAAAAAGAGGAAATGTTCGAATATGAAAGAAGATCGATGGACAGGAATATATTATTGTTTCAACGGTAAATTATTACTGCTGATGACACTATTAGGACCTTGATAAAAAATAAAAATTATGGATACGAAAAAAAAAAGATATATTAAAATGTCAGAAATAATACAAGAAATTATTCGAATCCTTTTCTTTCTGTTACATTTGTGCAGTGACAGTTAAAATTTCGTCAGTGGCACACGGTAAAAAATTTTCTGTTAAATTTAACACATTTAACATGTCCCAAAAAGTTTTTTACTGTACAGGAGATATTTAAAGATTGTTCTGAATAAAGATCCCAGTTAGGCAAGTATATCAGTCAAAATTCATCTCTCGACGACGACATTAATCATGTTGCAATGTGTTATTAACGTCCGCGTTAAAATTTCCTTCCTAATCTTATCCTCCTCCGAGAGAAAAACGTCAAAATACTCAAGTTTTGGAAGATTTAAGAAATTGTCTACGGTACTTACAATGTTCATCTCCTGCTCCTGAATCTCCTTGTACACCTCGACAATTCTCATCAGCGCGAATCCTGTAACACGAAAAGTGGACCTCGATCAGACCACGATCACCCTCGCAGGACTCGTCGTCGCGGGATCGAACGACCTGAACTTTCGTCCTGAATTATTCAGACGCGGTTGGCGTCGCCGATACTTTAATCCAGAAGCGCGAAGGGTGCGGGGAGAAAGTGGAAAACGAGGGTGGCAGAAAGGAAAAGGGGAGGACGAAAAGCGCGATAGCTTAAAGCAGGACGTTACGATGCTTGCGGTCGTCCGCCTCGAGTGACTTTTCTGCCGAAAGCTCGCGAAAGCTCGCCACGAAAAACAAATGCTCGCACGTCGGGCTCGATCGGGAAAGTTTCCGTGGTGGGCGGAAACTTTTCCCGTGGAAACTGTTTCCTCTCTCTCTCTCTCCCCCTCCCCACGCCGTGTTAGGTCTTCCGCTCAAGCGGATTCCGCTTTGCTTCCCACAAATGAGCTTGCGGATTCCAAGTCGGCGTGAACTCGGACGAAGCTCGGTTTTGGCCGACCCGCCGTGCTTCGGTAAGACTACTTACAAGAAAAATACTTGCCCTCAGAAGTCAGAATTGTATTAGGCGTGTCGGGAAGGTTCTCCGCGGATTTTGCACATTCGCCGATATAGCGATGAAAAAGGAAGTTGCACGCCGAACCAGCGAACCTCTCGAGCAAGCAATGAATTGTAATAATCGTAGTTTCATGAGCACCACGGTAATCAAAGAGCGGTTTTGATTTTTTTTCTTAACCAGCGCGGAATCCGCGCGTTACAACGGCAGCTGGAAAGAGGGCTCTCGCTCTCGGCAAAGCGAGCAATTGTCCAACTTTCTTTCAAGTGATCGCACTCGCGCCACGACAATACGCCTGAATAAACGAGCAGTTATTGTAAATAATTTTTCGGTACGTATCGCGTGAAACATTCCGGCGTGGTACACCGTACACGAGAGCGTGAGCGCGTTGAATAACTTCTCCCTCTCGTATTTTTATATCGCTCTATTTTCGCACGAATAAAAAGAAAACACGCATTCCGCTTTTCCTCTCTTTCTCCCTCCTCCTCCCTCTCTCTTTTTTTCCCCTCCTCCTCCTCCTTCTTCCCTTTTTTTCCCAACGTAGATTTCCCGCTGTGTACGTACGCTCGCATCGTTTCCGCTGTTGCAAAAAAAAAAACTCGTCTCGATGTAACGCGAGAAGATATCGGCGGCGGCGACGACGGCAGCTTCTCGGTCACGTGCGACAAATATCGCCTAACGCACGTGACAGCGGATAGCGTTCGACGCTATCTCCTATTTTTCCGTCGTGCCGCGATATCCGCACGTCGCGCGATTTTTACTCCCGCGCGCACCGCGAATTTTACATTTTATCGAGCCCCGGCTCGATATCTCGGATTACACCCTCGGCGGATGTATTAGTCATTCGGCCACGCCGCACGCGTACCGTCGCATGGTGTACAGGTGCGAGGACATCGCGTTTATTCGCGCCGCCGCGTATTTCTTCGAAACATCCGCGCAACGTACGAGGCGGAATTATCGTAACGCGCCTCCTCGGCGCGAATTCGTTGTCGATTGTTCCGCAGCTCCTCCATTTTGCATATCGAATTCCTCTCGGTAACGCACAGCTCGCGAATTCAAGTTTTATTGAAACGAATGTAACTCGAAAGAGTTACTCGCTGAGACGTTCCCAATTTGACCACGATTTTCAATTCTTTTCAATTTGCTTTTCGAGTTAGCACCGCGTCCTTCATGGACTTTATGGTATCCGACGTTTCGGATATATCTCAGTTCGCTTATTCAATTAGAAACGAGCCGAAACTTGATTCGAAAATGTAAACGCGCAAATAACAATGATATATTTTATGTACTATTGACACACATTGATCATCGCGTTGAAAGATTTCCGTTGATTGCACAAAAGCTCAGCTGAATCATTGAATTGCCGGGAATACGGTAAGTAAATGTAATTCAAGACGTGCGTGTCTTTCATTTCGTTCCATTGTGGCTCTCCATTGTTCATTGTCCATTGTCCATACGACCGACTTTTCAAACGCAATTAATTATATTTAATTTACGTTTATTTTAAACGTAACTGGGAATGAGACGCGATAGTGTGGTGGCATTCGACATGTAAAGTATTATCGATGTACGTTGAAAGCGCGACGATGTTTCCCCCATCATTTCGGCTTCCTTCGACCGGCTCGCACTGTTTCACCCTTCATAGAAAAATATTTAAGCCACGAGAGAGTGCGACGGGATAAACCATAAAGATGCTGCGAAGACACCGTAAAGATACTGTAAAAAGTGTTAACGATCGCAGCCGCGGGGGATTCACGGGCGGTTTTCGTGGTCGAGAAAGCCGGGCACACGGCTGGACATACCACGTTCTTTTCCCAGGGTATCGGATATTCACGGAGGGTGCGTCCTTTTACGACGCTTTAAATTCCCGGCGCAACAGCGGTCGAGCCTAAGGAGGATCTCGCAGATGAAAGTTTACAATTTTTTAACGCGACGCCGCAGCTAGTCGATCCGACATGACGCATGTCGGCGGAAGAAATTATTTATTAAACGGCAGTTTAACATATCGATATCCTGCTGCACACATGATATGACTTTTCAACGCTGCCGTTCAGTCACCGGAAGAAAAAAAGTGAAATAGTGACTGCTTCTTAACAGAGAAGATGACGAAAAATGATCTCTCAGACATCAAAATAGTGACCGAAAATGACGTTTTTGTCCAATTCTGAGAATAACTAAGGGCATTCAGGCAAAAAAGTAAAACTTATTCATCTCTCATCTCAGATTTATCTTTGGAAAAACCTGATAACATGCAGCGAGTTCTTTCATAGCACGGTTTGAAAGTTCATTACAAGGGAAGATCAAGGGCATGAACGATACAATATAAGTTCAGACTACGAACGATAAAGGTAAAGGTTGATGCTGACGGCAAGTTACCACTTAAACTTTCTAGCTTTTCAATTAAAGATCTGAATTGAACATTATAATAGTGTTTTGAAAAGGTCTCGACGTTAGTTATCGAAATCCGTGATAAAAAGTGGGGATACCCGCTTAAGTTTTTTAAGGTTATCTTGACAGGTCATTCAAAGGTCATTTTAAGATCACAGAGACATTGCCATCCTGTGTAATTTTTTTAACACTGCAAGTTTTGTCTGAAACATTTTTCCATAAAACTAATTATTTCGGTATAATTGGCCGTTTGCGGGGTTTTAACCACCATTTTGTTCCATTGTCCATTGTCCATTGTCCATTGTCCACACGACCGACTTTCCAGAACACAGAACGTCTATATTTGATAAATTTAACGGTAATTCAGGAAAAAAGTGACTATAGACGACTATAAATGACTCATTTTGGGCAATGATAAATTTTCTCACTTGTCGACAAGAAAAGGTGACAAACGGTGACTTAAGTGATTGTATGGCAGCAACGCTGCATTTTTAACAAGATCTTTTCGTAAAATATTCGGCTGAACACCGGCATGTTTCATTAATCGCAAAGCGATATTACATTGAATATTGAACGCATGCGGAGATGTGTTTTTCTTCCTCGGAAAATTGCCTCGACCCGTATAAATCGTTATTCGCTTTTATCGCGGTCTCTTGCGCGGAAATGTTTTCTAGATAAACTTCCGGGAGGACGCAAGTTTTGTCTGCGCTTGGGCCACCAGCGCCGTCGCGATGATGGACCGCTTTTTTTTCCGCCAAGTCACGCGCGCACGTTTTACGGCTCTCGTCGCCGGCGGCGAGTTTCGGAATAAATAATTTTACGGCGCGTTCGCGGCCGTCGACGGAATCGCTCGCACGGGGCGCTCGCTTTCTTCGCGTAGTTTTGCCTGAACGCATGTACAAAGCGTAGCGAATGCCTTTACTTATGGAAGGGGATCCCCGAATTTGGTGCCCGTCGGGAACTATCGTGTTTGCAAACTGATATCTCCTCCGAAAGCGAAACGAGTCTTTCCTCGTCGACGATCGGATTTGAAATACCAGCAATTCACATGGAAATATATTCGACGATAATTTTTCGGAGTTCCCGCTTCATCAGTTTCGAGTAAATTGTCCCTCGGCGAGGATTCAAGTCGCCGAATTCGGAATTTCATAAAGCCGCTTCGCGAGTCACGGACGTCATGGTTCGTTAAAGCTAACGATACGAAAATCTCGCCGATCTAACGGCGCCCGAGGGCGGCTTGCCCGTACCGTTGATTCTACTAATTTCCCCTCCCCTGAATCTCGCAGCTGCTTAAAACCCGACGAGCCCCAATCGCGCAGATTTGAAAATCGAGTGGAGCCCCGATGAATTTTAGTACATCCCGGCAATTGTGAGGTAAAATAGGTCTCTATCTTCCCGTGCCCGGCGGCGAGCAGCTAAAACGAACGTCGGGGTCACGTGCAGCTGCAGCGACAGCTATTACCCGGTCCTTAAATGAAAGGGTAAGGACGGCAGACAACGTAGACAAAGGGTGCGCCCGTCGTATCTCGACCATACAATATCGTAATCCCGCGCCGCACGAGGAAGCCTCCGGGCCGGAGGATTCCGTTTATACGTATACACACGCTCGAGGTATATACGGAGGTTAGCCCCGCGGAAAATATGGTCGCGGGAAAGCGTTCTCGCCGGGGATCCGCGGAATATAAATGTCACGGATCCTGAAATCCGCGGATTCTAAACGCCGCGCGGATACGCGAATTCATAGATTCCCTAAATGCGACGGGGATTTTCGCCGGAACGTCGTGCGTATCCCCTGATACACACACACACACACACACATATACACACAAGAATCCTTAAATTCGTGCATCTCAAACGTTAGCGAACGTTAGGATCCACGAAAATTTGCAGTATCAAGCGACGGGGGTTGAAGGAGGGAGGGGAAAGGTAGGCTGGTATTATCGCGAGTGGTAGCTTCTTACGCTCGTTACGAGATAGATCCCGACGTAGATCCGTGTGATCCCGTACGGATATATCCCCGTCGAAGCTGCTCGGAGCTTTTCCGCGTGACTTCGCTCATC